CATAGACGTTCAAGTAATTTAATCAAACTGGCTGGATCAAACCGTTTTATCAAATTGGCATGAGTGTCTGTGGTAAAATTTGATCAAATTTAATGAGTTATCAAATTGTTTGAAGAAATATAAATTTTTGTTTTTTGAAGTTGTACTTCTTTAGGCGCGTTATGAAAAATTGATGAGAGTGAAATTTTACGATTGCGCGCGCACCTATGACACAAAATTGGCAGTGTGATATAGCGTGCGCGAGCGAGATGGGAATAAGACAAACTACAAGTAAAAAGAAATAGAATATGCGTGAAGCTAACTTCACGCATATTCTAGCTTAGCAGCTTAACAAGAATTTTGAATGACCATGACAATTGACATCTGACAATGACATTTACCTTTTAAACAAATATAGGAGTTTTAATTATTGTTTAAAATTAATAATTATATACCTAGTTATTTTCATTATACAAAATATTTGTGAAATAATATAAAATATTTGTGAAAAAACTGTGCTAACCTTCCTGAGTGCTTCAATACAATTGAGGTTAACTATCCGTATGTATTATCGAGTATTATTGTTGATTAAAACTGAAACATGAACCATTATTCATTGCTTTTGTTTATTGCGTTTGTTGCAGCAACTTTTTAGAAATATTCTACGACCCTATATATCAATAATTGAGAACAAAGATTTAAGCACGAATACTAATAAGGAGAAAATGAAGGCTTGGAGCGATATAACAGAGAAGTAAACATTTTAATAAGTACCTGCATCTCAAAAAAATGACCACATTATTTAATCAAAACATCAGATTTAATCTAGCAAATATAAGGACAAGAGACAAAAAACAATTGATGAATCAGTGGAAGTGCACTAAATTGAATGCAAAAAAAGAGTTGTCATCTTATCGCCGTGAAACATCAAAAACTGGAGGTGGAACAAAGCCACCATCACCTTCTCGAGACACAATGGTTTGAAGTAGATTTCAATGAATTTGATTGTGATGGTGTACTTTATTCCCCTACAGGGTAGTTAGAGATATTGTAATACCTCAAAACATCCATGTTGCACTTGTAGTACCGAAACTCTGTCCTGACAGAAGTGAGCCCATTCCCACTTATAATGGACAGTGGGTATAATACACCTTAATACCTGAGTGCGAACCACTCACCATGATACTTAAATTAATAGATGTTATTTATATATTTCAGGTTATTACAAATAAAATCATTTTGGAAACAATTGATATCCCAAAAGCAAATAAAGCCAACAATGACAAGGTAATAAATCAGTTTTGACATAACTTGAATACTAAAAAAGCCAAACAAAGGTGTGCACAACAGTGACAACATAACTTAACAATTTCATTATTTTGTAGGATTAAAGAAAGGTTAAAGAAAATCATGTCGAACTGAACAACAAGAATCCCCAAACAACTCCAAAGAAACCTACAAGGAAGACACCGGTATTATATTTAAATTATCTCTATCTCTAAATAGAATAAAAGAAAGTTGCTATCCAGGTCTGTAGCATGTGCTACAAATTATATTATTAACACATTTATATAATTATATTAATATAAATGTGTTAAAAAATTTATAATATGAATTATAAAAAATTTTAAGTTTTGCATGGACAGAGCTTAAATTAATATTCTCTTATTTGTTGCAGAAAGCAAGTAGTTTTGGAGAAGCCTCGTAGATGCACAACCAAGTAATGATTAATTTAAAATTACAAACCGAAATTCTGATGAAGACATTAGAGTCACTTAAAAATAAATAGTATAATGAAATAAAAATGTTTTAAAGATAAATAGTGTTTTATTTGTTTAATGTAAGAGAATAATAATAAATATTTATTTAATTAATTTTTCAAATGTAAACTGAACTTTATTGACTTTAATGACTCCTTTTCCAGTCTTTGATTATTTAATTGTAATTAATTATTTGCATGCAATCAAAAACTATTTTTAATAATGCCAAAGAAGTATAACTTCTTACGCGCGTACATAAGTACACGCACCCTTTTTTTTATTTGATCAGTCGGTTTGATCAAACTGTTTGATGAAAAATTTGAGCGTGTGTGTTGCGAGCGCTCAGTTGTTGCTGCGGAAGTGTTACCTAGCGGACGTGTTGCAGCTTGCAGTGCATAATGACGAACCGCGATGTATTAAGGGGCATCCACACGCTGGCTGTTTGTCACAAACACCGCAAACAGCAAACGAAGTCCCAAACACCAACCACAATCACCCAACACAAACAGCCATCCACATGCTTGGCGAACGTTCATAACATTCCGAATCGGCAAACATGGCGGACGACGAGCTTGTAAAAAAAATAAAATATGTTTATTATGGAACATAAGATACATGTATCACTTATTCCACGTCATTAAATTTGAAGGCATCCCTACTCATCGGCAAAGAAGACAGAGGGTGTAGGCCGAGAGAAAAAGCCGGCGTAAAAAACTCTCGGTACTCTTTTAAAACAGCAAATCATCAAACAACACTTATTTAAAACAAATATCGCAAATTGATTAGAAGTAGCCTGTCTAGCACTAGTCCCAGGCCCTTTTATCAACTAGATAATCGTTGACTTTATAGTAAGCCTTTTTACACAGCTTTTCTTTAATACATTTCTTAAATTTATTGAAAGGCAGTGATAAAAGAGCCTCTGGGATTTTATTAAAGAAGAGTATCCCTTTCCCAAAAAAAGAATTACTAACTTTAGATAGTCTAGTACGGGGAAATTGCAGCCTGCGTTTGTTCCGTGTATTAACATTGTGCGTATGTTCTATTCTAGTAAACTTATCACTATTTTTGTATACATACATAATATTTTCATAAATATATTGCGAGGGAAAGGTAAGTATATTAATTTCCTTGAATTTATCTCTAAGAGATTCCCTACATTTTAAATTATAGATTGCACGAATAGCCCTCTTCTGCAGGATGAAAATAGTTTCGACATCAGCAGCATGACCCCATAATAATAAGCTATGAAAGTAACTAAAATAAACAAGTCTAGCTGTATCGACATCAGTTAGTGAGCGAATTTTTTTAACCGCGTAGGCTGCAGAACTAAGTCTCTTCGCCAATCCGTTAATATGAGGGGACCACTGAAGTTTTGAATCCATGGTGATTCCGAGAAATACAGTTGTATCATCCAGATTCAATTCCTCACCGTTTATAATTGGTCTAGTATCCATAACCCTTGCATTTTTTGCACAAAATTTAATGCATTTTGTCTTTTTTGCATTAAGTAGAAGGTTATTCATACTAAACCAATGGACAATCGAAGACAGAGCATTGTTCACATCGTCAAAATTTGTTATTTGTCGTTTGATTTTAAAAATCAAGGACGTGTCATCAGCAAACAAAACTATCTGATGTTTTCTCTCTACCATGAAAGGTAGATTTATATAAACAAGAAAGAGGAAAGGGCCAAGAATTGAGCCCTGTGGTACCCCCATATCTACTGCCGACCCAGAGGACCTCTTACCATTCACTTCAACCTTCTGAGTTCTTCCGTGTAAATAGGAAATCAGAAGATTCAGTGCGGTATTCTTGATGCCATAGTGGCGGAGTTTCCCGATTAAGGTCTCGTGTTGGACACAATCAAATGCTTTGGATAAGTCGCAGAAAACACCTAAAGCGTCATGCGACTCCTCCCAAGCCTTAACTATATATCTATATAACTCAACACCGGCATCGGCTGTCGAGCGACCCTTGGTAAAACCGAACTGATTATTATGTAATAATTTGTTTACGTTAAAATGACTTACCAGTTGATTTAATATTTAAATAATAAATTTAATATATATTTTTATAACTTTACTATGTTTCATTAGATCGGGAAACTCGCCACTTTTAAGTAGCAGCTATTACTTTCGGGTTGACATATTTTTATTATAAATTAAAGCAAGAAAAAGAAAAAAGGAAAAAAGAAGAAAGCAAAGACGATGGTGGATGATTAAAATACATAGAAATCGTACAAGGTACTGCTTTAGACCAAAAAAACAAAAAAAACGAAAAAGTGTAGCAAGTAAATACGTCCGCCTCCCGCAAGCTCGCGCGCATACTGATCGCTGCCAAACGTGTGGATACGTAGCAAACTGTTTGCCAAACATCCTTTGATCTGGCAAGATAAACCGACACCGATGCCGAACACTGCCCAACACAAACACAAACAGGCAAACAACGACAAACACCCATCCACACGTCCGTGTTTGCTGTTTGCTGTTGGCTGTTTGCCATTGTTTGTCAAGCGTGTGGATGGGGCTTTAGAAGAATTCATACAAATATATCAAAATGAAACCTGTTTATGGAACGTCAAAAATAATAATTACCATAATAGAGATAAGCGGAATGCTGCTTATTGTAAACTAATAGAAAAACTTAAAGAAATAGAACCGAATGCAGACCGTGACCTGGTGACCAAAAAAATTAACAGCTTTCGGACATCCTTCAAAAAGGAGGAACATAAAGTTGCGGAGTCTTTGAAGTCGGGGGCAGGCGCTGATGAAATATATAAGCCAAAGTTATGGTACTATGATCAGCTATTTTTTCTTAAAGATCAGTGCATTCCAAGAAGTTCACGTTCGAGCATGTCTGATCATGTTGAATATGAGGTAAGTACCTAAATAAAACAAATTTTATTTTCATGTTCATATTTTATTAAGTTTCATCATAATAACAAGTCGATCATATTTATTTAATTAACTTATTTTTTGTTTATGACACAAAATCATTCTGCCATGGAATACTACCCTCATTATTAAAATAATTAATAAAGTCTTGTCTTACCATCTTGGCCGCATTTTTAATATTCCAATAATTTCTACGACATAAGTGATTCATATTTGACTGAACGGTATTAAGCCCGGGTGTAATAGTTCCGTTTTCTCTGTCTTCCTGATCGTAACATTTTACAGTAAACATTTAACGTAACACTTTAAGCGACCCGCTATTAGAGAAGACCGATATGATGTATTCGCTAAAAGTGTTGCGATCAAAATGCGTGAATTATCAAAAAATCAGCGTATCATTGCAGAAAAAATCATCAATGATACCCTATTTGAAGGCGAGTTGGGTAACTTGACTTTGTCCCATAAGTTGTGTAATGATAATCATACGCAACAGTTTACTTTAGGTCAACAGCCACAATATTCAGATTCTCCAATTGCTTGGTCTACATCATCGAATTGTACATATTCATCATCATCTCCTGTTCCTCCTGTTCCTGCTACAAATTCAAGACAAGCCATTGTTATCACACAGCAGCCCTTGGAAGTAGAAGAACAACAGGGATCTAATTCTGTTCAACTTTCCATTCCAGATTTAAATGCAGCTACTTATTTCACTAATTTCCAAAATATGTAAACGATTTGTATTGACTAGAACGTAAGAATTGAGTCTAATTTCTTTCATGCTTTAATTTGGATAAGTTTTATCTTTAATTTCATAATAATAACTTATAATAAAAATAAATAATGAGTATTTTATTTACCTTTAACCAATCTCTCCTGAGCACCTTATATATAGCTTCGCATGTTTCAGGAATAATATGTTCCAAAGCCTGAGGTGATATTACTGTGGAAAATTTGAGGTCTTCATAGCTCCTTCCAGTCGCAAGAAAACTCAAAGTTGCGCTTAATCTTTCATGTGGTGATATAGATTTTCGCATAATAGTGTCTTTTCTTTCAATTAATGGACTGACTAATGACAGAATCTTTAAATATGTTTCTTCATTCATTCGCAAATAATTATGCCAATCTTTAGGAGCAAATTTCAATTCATTTAACAAGTTTATATGCGAATATTCGTCTCTTTTCATGAGCCACTTTTTACACCATACTTCAAACTGTTAAAAAAAATAAACATAAGTATGGATGAAGGTATAAATAGTGTCTAAATTAATTATTTGTTTAAGTAATAGATGGCGTTAGGCGTGTGTTAAAACGCGATGGCGTAACAACGTCTTGGTATTATATAGGATTTAAGGTTTATTTAATATAATGAAGTTTTCGAAGTTTTTATAGTATAAATCAAGTGTCCCTCTCTTTAAGTAATAAATAAACAGTGAAATTGTGTTGTGTGTGTCATTCCGTGATAGGTTTTTGTTCATGGTGCCGAAACCAGGGATGGACTTTGGACTCGTGAGTTAATGCAAAAGACTTAGAATATTTATTCATTAGTGACAACTGGACTTGTAAAATTTTATAGTAATTAGTATGGACTTAGAATAATTTCAACCAATCTTGGACTTAAAATAATTTCAACAAATCTTGAACTAATTAAAAAAAGTGTTGTAAATTAAATAATTAATACATTAGTGATTTTAAATAATACACTACGTAATTTTAAATTGAAATAATGGCTTTTAACATAATAAAAAATCAAGAGGATTTACATTCAAGGCTACAAAAGGCGCATTCAAATTATAAGAAAAGTCCAAGAGTGAGAATAACAAAAGCATATGTCCAAACACGTATAAATACTTTAGATGAGTTGCTGAAGGAATTTATGGATAATCATAAGCATTTAATACAAATAGTGGTTCCAGAGCAAATAAAATCGTTTCCGTATTTTGAAGAAGACATTTGTGATTCGTTCCAAGAAATATATACTGAATATATGACAGATTTAAAAGAAAAGTTAGAACAGTTTGAGAGTTCAATATGTAGGGAAAATCAAGCAAAGGCTCATTCTGTAGATGTTATAAAATTACCACGGATACAACTACCCTCATTTTCTGGAAAATATAGTGAATGGCAGACATTTTATGATTTGTTCTGTTCTGTTATTCATAATAATGAAAAGTTGTCGCCTGCGCAGAAATTGCATTATTTAAAAAGTAGTATAGTAGGAGAACCCTTAAACTTAATAGGAAATTATTCGACTACAGATCTCAACTATGAAGAAGCGTGGAATCAATTAGTAAAAAGATATAACAACAAAAGATATAATAGTAATGCAATCCTAAAGACTTTATTTTCACAGAAAACAATTAGTGAATCATCATCAGCAATTAAACAATTATTAGATACAACAACTTCTTGTTTAAAGGCTTTGGATAATATGGGCATATCTACGGCTTCTTGGGATTCTATTGTAATTTATTTGACAGTCTCGAAAATAGATTTAGAAACACATAAACAGTGGGAAAATCACATAAATAATTTGTCAGATGATATGCCAACATGGTCGCAATTTGTTGAGTTTCTTGAGGGAAGATTTAGGAGTCTAGAGATGGTTGAGACTGGTAAACAATTACCTAAAACTAGTTTTCAAATGAAAAAACAAGTTCCTAAAACTTTTCACGCGGCAGTTCAAGAGAATAATAAAAAACTGAATTTAGTTGTCTTTTATGCGGAGAAAGTCATTATATTAATTTATGTAAGCAATTTAGACTTCTTACTGTTCAACAAAGAAGAGATTTTGCTCAGTCGAAAGGACTTTGTTACAATTGCTTACAAAAGACTCACGTAGTAAATAAATGTCGACAATCGACATGTTGTAAAAAATGTGGCAGAAGACATAATACTTTGCTGCATATTGAGAGGGACGGAATTGACACACACATTAATAATGTATTGGAGGAAGTTCAAAACGGAGAAGAGAATCCGGTGCCAAGTACATCGATTGTAGCAAATTTTGCAAAACATCAAAGGCACAATCAACAAGTGCTTCTGGCAACAGCTGTCGTCAAGGCGAGGTCGAGGAGTGGAAATAGGAGTATATTGCGGGTTTTGTTAGATCAAGGCTCGCAAGCTTCGTTTATCACAGAAGCGGCTGCTCAATTATTAAATTTAAAAAAATTATCTGTTAATTGTAATGTTTCAGGTCTGGGAGATGGTCAAATGCATGTAAAATATTTAGTTATATTGTATTTAGAATCTCGCCATAATCCAGAATGTTTAATTCGAGTTAATGCTTACGTGTTACGGTCACTCACTGATATGCTGCCTTGTGACAGAATTGATTTACCTGATTGGAAGGAACTTTCTACGTTAGAATTAGCTGATCCAGGTTATACTGTACCAGGTAAAATAGATTTATTGGTAGGAGCTGAGGTATACTCAGATATATTGTTAGATGGCCTAATAAAACAACCCAAAGGAAAACTTATCGCACAAAATACGGCCTTTGGTTGGGTTTTATCGGGAAAAATGTCTGATACTTATTCCACAGCTAACATTACGAGTTTACATTTGCAAGTCGAACAGGAAGATGATTATCTAAAACGTTTTTGGGAGATAGAGGCTGAACCAGATAGGATTCAGAAGAGACTTTCTGTGGAAGAGCAAATGTGTGAAACACTTTATGAGGCTACGACTACTAGAAATGAGAATGGAAGGTTCATTGTTACATTACCATTTAAAAATAAGGATCCAGAATGTCAGTATGGACAATCTATGGATATTGCAATGAAAAGATTGGTGTCGTTAGAAAGAAGATTATCTAATAATTTTTGGTTACGTGAAGAGTATACAAAAGTGATTGAAGAATATTTGACACTTGGCCACATGTCTCGAGTTGCAGAAGATGATGTGGATAACAGTACTGCAGTGTATCTTCCTCACCATGCAGTGGTGAGAGAAGATAAGGAAACCACTAAAGTGCGCGTGGTTTTCAATGCATCTAGTAAGGGTATGAATGATGTTTCGCTAAATGACGATCTTATGGTTGGACCGAAAATCCAGCAAGATTTAAGACATATTTTAATGAGGTGGCGAACTCATCGAATTAGCATTGTTGCTGATTTAGTTAAGATGTATAGACAAGTATTAATTGATTCTGCGCAAACTAATTTTCAGCGGATTTTATGGAGGCCACATCCAGACATGCCTGTGGAACATTATAAGTTACTTACGCTAACTTTTGGAACAGCTTGTGCTCCGTACCTAGCTGTAAAGACTTTACAACGACTGGCATATGAAGAGAAGAGGAAGTTTCCAGTGGCAGCGTCTATTACAAATACTGATTTTTACGTTGATGATTTGATGACAGGAACTGAGACTATTGATGAAGCTAAAGAAGTATACGATGAAATGAATGCTTTAATGACATCTGGTGGCTTTCAATTGCAAAAATGGACAAGCAATAGTAAGGAGTTATTGGATTACATTGGAAAGCAAAACAATAAAGAGGAGACATCTTTGCCAATTAAAACAGATAATATGATAAAGGTTCTGGGCGTCCAATGGAATCGAGAAACTGATAGTTTTGAATACGTTGTTGCTTTACCAGAAATAACATATCCTGTTACAAAAAGACAAGTTTTGTCTAATATTGCCCGTTTGTATGACCCTCTGGGTTGGATTTCACCAGTCGTAGTATTAGCAAAGCTTTTGATCCAGCAGATTTGGAAGCAACATCTTGATTGGGACGATCCTTTGTCAAGTGAATTTTGTGAATTATGGTTTAATTTTAGAAATGATCTTATTCATATTCAGCAATTACAAATTCCCAGATGGTTAGGTTACACCCGCAAAAGTCGAGTTGAATTACATGCATTTTCAGATGCATCTTGTTCAGCTTACTCAGCCGCAGTATACATTCGTGTAATCAGTTCAGATGATAAAATAGAAGTTCGATTAGTATCCGCGAAAACAAAGGTAGCTCCAATCGAGAAGAAAGTTTCTATTCCTCGACTGGAACTATGCGGTGCTGTACTAGCATCAAAATTAATTAACGAAATATCTCAAATTATGAAAATACCTAAAGATGATCTGTATGGATGGACGGATTCAACAATAGTTTTGGCGTGGCTTAAAGGTGGACCAAGTAAATGGATGACTTTCGTTAGTAATCGTGTCTCAGAAATACTTTCTATTATGGAATACTCTCAGTGGGGTCATGTTTCATCTGAAGCAAACCCAGCTGATTGCGCGTCAAGAGGTCTGAGTCCGCTTGAGTTACTGTCTCACACTCTATGGTGGGAAGGTCCACAATGGTTAAGAAACACGAATATTCAAATTGAAGATTTAGAAATTGGTGGTACAAATGAAGAAGGAAAAATAGTTTCAATGAATATCATAGAAAGGAATGAAAATTTTGAATGGATTAAATTTTCTAATTTAGTAAAAATGTTGAGAGTAATGTCATATTGTCGAAGATTTGTAATGAGAAAAGAAGATCGAAAAACCTTACCTAAATTTATAACAGTCACAGAAATCAATAAAACACTAGAAGTTTGCATAAAGCAAGTGCAACAATTTGCATTTGGCGAAGAAATAACAGTTATAGCAAATGGAAAAGAAGTACCTAAAAAGAGCGTGTTACGCACTCTTTGTCCCATTTTAGACAATAATGGGATTTTAAGGGTAGGCGGACGAATAAGCATGGCCAACGAAAGTTATGATGCAAGACATCCCATTATTATACCTGCTAAGTCTCACCTTACTAATTTATTAATTTCGGATGCACACGAAAAGACTTTGCATGGCGGTCCTCAAATCATGCTAAACTTTCTTCGTTCAAAGTATTGGATTGTACGAGTTCGAGATCAGGTTAAAAAGTATTATCGGAAATGTATTACCTGTTTAAGGTATTCTAAAGCAGCGAGAGTACAGCTTATGGGCCAACTTCCTGATGCACGACTTAAGCCGAGTAAACCATTTTTAGCAACCGGCGTTGATTATGCAGGTCCATATCATATAAAATTTTCTCCAGGACGAGGAGCTAAGACCTACAAGAGTTATATTTGTCTCTTCGTATGTATGGTAACACGAGCTATACATATTGAATTAGTCACCGATTTGACTTCTAAGGCTTTTATTGCAGCTTTTCGAAGATTTATCGCTAGGCGTGGTTATTGTCGAGATCTGTATAGCGACAATGGCACAAATTTTGTTGGTGCCAATAAACAATTGAGAGACATGTTTGATCGGTCTAAATCAAACATACCTGATGAGATTGCAAAATTACTCACATCTGAATTAACAACGTGGCATTTTATTCCACCTCAAGCACCAAATTTTGGAGGCATTTGGGAAGCCGGAGTGCGGTCTGTTAAAACACATTTGACAAGGCAATAGGTGATAATTTAATGACATATGAAGAACTGGTTACTGTTCTATCACAGGTTGAGGCTTGCTTAAATTCAAGACCGATTTCATTGCTTAGTGACGTAGCAGATGACCCTCTCCCATTAACCCCAGGTCATTTTTTGATTGGTGAACCTCTTGTAAATATTGTTGATGACACATCAGTTATTAATTTTAATGTAAATCTTAAAGAAAGATGGAATGTCATGCAGAATATTGTTGTAAAATTTTGGAAAAAATGGTCTAAAGAATATTTGTTAACTTTAAGTCAAAGATATAAGTGGAATTCGAAACTTGAAGACCCTTGTATAAATGATATTTGTATTGTTAGGGAAGAAAACTTGCCACCGTGTAAATGGTTATTAGGTAAAATTGTAGAAAAACATACTGGTCCTGATAATATCACTAGAGTGATAACCATAAAATGTAAGAATGGCCTTATAAAGAGACCTTTAAGTAAAATAAGTATACTTCAGAAATAGATTTTTTTTTTTTTTTTGTTACATCATGGTGGGCGGCAAGTTTGATTCAATTACGAATGTTATAATAATTCTTTCTTTTCATTGTTGTAGATTTTAGATTTATTATTAACGTATTTACCTAGTATAATATTCGAATTCTTTAACTTGTTTTTTCTTGATGAACTTTATGTTATGTTTAACTGAACATGTTATTTTTTTGTTTGTTATGAAAGTAATTCTATCAAAATTTTGTGCAACTCTAATGTTGAAAGGACTCGTCCTTGGTGGGCGGAATGTCTAAATTAATTATTTGTTTAAGTAATAGATGGCGTTAGGCGTGTGTTAAAACGCGATGGCGTAACAACGTCTTGGTATTATATAGGATTTAAGGTTTATTTAATATAATGAAGTTTTCGAAGTTTTTATAGTATAAATCAAGTGTCCCTCTCTTTAAGTAATAAATAAACAGTGAAATTGTGTTGTGTGTGTCATTCCGTGAGAGGTTTTTGTTCAAATAGTTACCATTTTTATATTCCACATTTAAAATATGAATACAATTTTATTTTAAAATTCGGATCCTAAACAAATTTATTTTACAGGATTATACTTTCGTAAACATTGCAATGGTTTTGAAAAAGTATATAATTATTTTAGAAATCATTAAAAAAATTTACTCAAAACGTAAATGATGTAAACTTCTTACATGAAACTAAATATTTTACTGTTTATTTAGCTTGTTAAAACCTTATATTCTTTAAAGGTTTTCTCTTATTTCAGTAAAAATGTTAATGAAATAATTTGATTATTAAAATAAGCGTAAAAAGTTTTCAACCAATTATTATTGTTTACCACATTATTTATACATTAATGAAGTTGCTAACTCTATTCAGACCATTTTTTTTGTCAACACTGACTTAGCGCACTCTGCTGATGCATTTGAAAACTAACTCACGTTCCAATTAAGCTTCAGGATTATGCGGCATTGTGCGGCACTGAGTCGCATAATGCTCTGTACTTGGAAAACGCACTAAACCTACTATTGCTATAGCGTCGTCTGTACATGACATTTTTACGGCCACATACACACAACAATTCTTCGTCCGGTTCGATACTGAACTGACGCTGCTTCAAGCCTGCGTGAAGGTGTGTGGTCGCTTTGCAGATTATGCCAATTTGATAAAACGGTTTGATCCAGCCAGTTTGATTAAATTACTTGAACGTCTATGGCGGCCTTAAATTTGCTCGACAACTGCAGTTCAAGTAAACGTTTGCTTAATCTGTTTAAATCATATAATTTAATAAATACTTTTATTGTGCCTACTAGGGTAACAGCCACCACGACAACATGTATTGACAATATCTATGTGAAGAAAACATAATATATTTTCCTATACAAACTCTTTTTATATTTTATTTTTCTTCTTTGCCGTCTGATCGACGATGTTTAATTTGTCACTTGACATAATATATGTAAGATGTTTTAATTTTTTCATTATATTATTTTACTTTATAAAACTTAGAATATAGGCTTTAAATGTTGTTTCTTTTGTATTCACAGAGAAACGCAGTTGCGCCCTATTTATTCCCAGTACTTGTATAAGCGATTGATACTATTATATCTATAGTAATATAGTTCCTCTCAACGCCTGTATTATCAACAAACTTTCATCTGACCACTCTGGTCAATTGTTTGAATTTCAAATACTAAAATGTAAAGATCAAAAAAAGAAAATATGCACAATTCCTATAACAAATCATCGGTTAGACAGATTTAGGAAAAATTTGATATTTAAAATGCCATTTTTGCGTAGTAACCAATGCCCTAATAATTTATATAGCACATTTTTTGATTCATTTATTGGTGAATTCAAAAATGTGTTCACTCTAAAGACTTTTTTGGTCTCGGAGAAACCTACCTTTTGTGACTGGGCAACTCCGGAGCTACACAAAAAAAGGCTAAAATTGTATGAATTGTATGATGAAAAACAGTATAATGACAGTGAAGAATTTAAAACTTATGTTAGGATATTCTCAAAAAGTTTTAGGCAAGAGTGTAGAATCGCTAAGACGAAACACTTAAGTCTTAAAATAAACAACAGCTCTGATACGATAAAGGCTTCTTGGGAAATTATAAACGAGGAGACTGGAAGAACCTCCAGAAAGGATACTGAATATAAAGTGAACATAAACGGCAAAGTAATTAGTTCCGACCTCGAAGTAGCCTCTGCATTGGAAGAGTTTTTTACTAACATTCCTTTAAATACAACCAGCGTTCTAAATTCTTAACCATCAGCCGCGCTTTTATTATTGAAAAATAATGTTCCTGTATGCAATAATAAGTTTATATTTATGATTGCATATAGCCGCATTAGCTGCAATGATCTTATAAAAACATTTAAACAGCTAAAAATAAAAAAAAATAATGATCTGTAGGGTGTATCTGTTTTCATTTTACAATCGGTAATCAATACTATCAGTTCAGAGTTGGCACATAATATTTAATGAATGTATAGATTGTGGAGTCTTTCCAGACCAGATGAAGCTAGGTAAAATCACACCATTATTCAAAACGGGCAGCACTTCGGACCCCACAAATTTTAGACCCATATCTGTGCTGCCTGCATTGAGTAAAATCTTTGAAAAAATTATTCTTGAACAATTATTGATACATTTTAATAATAATAAACTTATGCATAGCCAGCAGTATGGTTTTACAAGATGTCGCTCCACAGCCGATGCTGGCATTCAATTAATTTCCGAAATTATAGATGCTTGGGAAAATTATCATGATGCCATTGGAGGTTTTTGCGATTTATCATAGGCTTTTGACTGTGTCCATCACGAAATCCTAATCAAAAAACTTCAACACTATGGCATAGGCGAAAAAGCGCTTAATCTTATGGAATCATATCTGAGCGATAGAATTCAAAAGGTAAATGTAAATGGAGCTATATCACAGGGATCCTCTGTTACTATGGGAGTACCGCAAGGCTCCATACTTGGTCCCTTCTTATTCCTCGTCTATATAAATTACCTACCATTTATTGTAAAGGAGCTTCACGAGATAGTACTGTTTGCTGATGACACTTCGCTTCTATTTAAAGTGAAACGACGAAATCCTTCACTTGACAACGTAAACAGTGCCATCTCCAGTGTAGTTCACTGGTTTAATACTAATAATCTTAACCTAAACGAAAAGAAGACAAAATGTGTTAAATTTGTAACTACAAATGTAAATAGTAGTCATTCTCAAATAATAATTAAAGATGAGGAAATAGACTTTGTTGATAATGCGGTGTTCTTGGGAATTACTTTAGATAGTAAACTCCAGTGGGACCGACACATAGAAGGTCTTTCGAATAGGCTAAGTTCTGCAGCGTTTGCAGTAAAAAAGATACGCGATCTTACGGATGAGAATACAGCAAAGCTTGTTTATTTCAGCTATTTTCATAGTATTATGTCATATGGTGTTATTTTGTGGGGTAATGCAGCTGACATTAAATCGATATTTGTAGTGCAAAAGCGGGCTATAAGAGCGATCTGTGGGTTGTCCCCACGGGAGTCGGTTCGAAGGAAGTTTAAGGAATTACATATTTTGACTCTGGCAAGTCGATACATTTATGAGAATATTTTGTAAGTGCGGAAAATTATAGATATCTTTAAAAAGAATAGTAGCTTCCATAACTATAGTACTCGTAATAAAGACAAAATTAGCGCACCAACCAGAAGGCTGCATAAAACGAGTAATTCTTTCCAACGCAATTGTATACGTTTTTTCAATAAAATCCCTACTGAGATACAAGTGTTGTCAATAAATAAATTTAAATCGTACATTTAAGTAAAACTGCTTGCTAAGGCCTTTTATAATATAAATTAATATTAATACGATCCTAGTGCTTGGATATGAATTGCTCCAGTATAAATAGGTAACGCGACTGAATCTCTCGGCTGCATTTTCAGACTCTGGGGCGATCGTCAACATCCACGACTGTTTCAATATAAAGTGGGAACAAACCGTGATCCATGTGGTATCAAATTATTTCAGAATAAGTAGTATTATTATTATTATCTTATGTAGCCAAGTTCACATTTCAAGGATCGTCATGCTCGCTTAAATGTTATTGCTTGTGGCGGCGTCCATGAGCCGGGTTGTCTCTCAAAATATGGCGAGGGGGCCGATGGATGGCCATGCGTCATTGTCGTGAACGGGTGCTGCTTGTGGTGACTGTCGTATTTGAATTCGTGTATGCGGTGATGTTATCTGTTAAAATAATTGAGGTAATTGAGTTATATCGCCCTAATAATAATATAATTAATAATACAGATTATTTTTCCGACCCGACCAATCGACCAATAGAATTGCACCATTCGACGTCACGTGGTACAACCTACATGGTATTATACTGATAATTTTTTGAAAATTTTCTCTGGTAGTTGCTATATATAAAAAACAACATGATCCAGTCAAATTAACCACACGTCAAACTGACAGGTTGAATTCAATTGTGAAAATTGGAGATTTTGCATGAAAATGAGTCGATTTGGAGTTTGTTCTCTGTCCACCATCGATAAAAAAGTCAAAGGAAATGTTCCCATTAATACGGAGAAGTAAAAAAAAAACAGTTTGGAACCAATTTACTACTTTTTGTACTGAGAGGGAATACACATTGAGTGCTGAAACGAGTGAAGCGCAATTGGCAAACATTATGAAAGATTACGCTTACAATATGAAGAAAATGGATGGAGAAGACTATAAGGAAAGTACAATAAAAACAATGTGGAATCAGACTGCCAAATTACTTCAAGAAAAGTATTTGAACGATTTCGACATCAAAATCAACCCATTTTCGGATGCTGCATTCAAGACCGCTCGAGGAGCTCGTGATGCCAAGCGTAAGGCTTTACAATCTATTCCGGAAAAACGGAGGGCAAGTGCAGCAGCGTTGGAGGAAAAAGATTGGGATACAATGACCACTGTTTGGGACGAGGAAACTCCTGATGGCCTCCAGAAAAAATTATTCATGATAATATCAGTGGAATTGGCTTGGAGAGGTGGTGAGGGCAGCATGGCGTCAATACATCACTTCAAGGCAGAACAGCGAAATGACGGGGAAACAACTGGGAGAATTGAATACAATCCAATTTTCAGCAAGACCACACAAGGTGGTGATAAAAAATTATCAGACAGCAAGTGGCTGGTGTAGAATCGGGAAATCCCTGACAAGTGCCCAGTGAGACTGTTCCAGAAATTGAGAGAGAAGAGAGATGCCAATATCAAGAGCGACAGACTATTCCTGACCCAAAATCCATTCTGGAATAAAGTTCCAGGCGCTAGGTGGTACAAGGATTCCCCAGTAGGCCAAAACACGATTTCAAAGTGGGTTAAGGAGTCAGCACAAAAAGCTGGGCTTGACCTTGGTAACAAAAAAATCACCAATCACTCCAGTCGTGCAACAGCCGTCTCGAATCTAGCGAAATCGGGCCTGGGAGAGCAGCAGATAATCAAAATAACTGGACATGCCAACAGTAACTCCATCAAGCCGTATCTCCAACTCGACCAGGAACACCACGAATTAATTGTCAAGAAACTGCGAAGGAGTGAGCCTACTGCAGAAAATGCCATCAACAGCATAAACCTCATGCCATCTACCTCTTCTGGGACCATTACCGATAACTCTGACTTGAAGAAAACATGCACCAATGTTTACAACAATTGTATTTTTAATTGCACTATCCTGAATCTTAATTAAATGTTGTTTTATTCATTATGAAATTCTTATTTGTTAACTGTACATTTCGTCTCATGGTGCAATTCTATTGGCCGACATTTGGGACGGAAAAATAATCCCCCGAATACCACACGAGCTTCAAAATTATCTGGCATTTCCCGATAATTTTGAAGCTCTTGTGGTATTATAAGTGAACATTTCGAAATCCATCACAACTTATCGACTGAAAGATTTTCAACTTATGAAGTTATCAAAGCTATGGAACAATTAAATAAAGACAAAAGCTGTGGACCAGATGCCATAACAAATGAAGCTATTAAGTTGGAAGATTTTTGTTAGCAACCCCCATAACAAGGCTTTTTAATATGGTTATGGATTTACGAAAAATACCCAGAGAATGGGCACGGTCTGACATAATTTTACTATATAAAAAAGGTGACCCGACTGATGTGGGCAACTACCGCCCGATAAGCTTGCAACCAAGTATGTACAAATTGTTCGCTTCCTGTCTAGAACGACGCTTGTCAAAATATACCGAAGAATATCAACCAGTAGAACAAGCTGGTTTTAGAAGAGGCTTCTCTACTATAGATCATATTCATACCTTAGACATGATTATAGAAAATATATCGACCAAAACTGCACCCTATACCTAGGTTTCGTTGATTACGCCAAAGCTTTTGACACCATATCTCACAAAAGCATGTGGCAAGCTCTTGGTGAATGTAATGTTCCGTATGAAATAATAGAACTCACACAAAATATATACCAGCAAAGCGTAAGCCGCGTGAAGTTAGAATTGGCCCAGAAATAAAAATATGCAGAGGCGTAAGACAAGGCGATCCTTTGTCACCTAGAATATTTGTAACGGTTCTACAGAGCGTAATGAAAACCCTTCAATGGGAGAAAAAAGGGATAGAATTAAATGGTCAGTATCTAAGCAACTTGAGATTCTCCGACGATATAGTTATTCTTCTCAAACAGTGCGACGCAGCTACAAGACATGCTTAACGAATTAGTCTGCGCAAGTAAAAGCATTGGCCTAGAAATGAATACCTCCAAAACTAAAGTTATGACTAACAGCAAAGAACGACCAGTTTTTGTCAACGCCACGTCTCTTGAATATGTCCAAAACTACGTATACCTAGGAAAACAAATATAATTTAGTCAAAACCGACATGTGGATGAAACAAACAGACGAGTAAACCTAGCATGGAACAAATCGATACCTCCCACGTAAGTTGTCGTATCTCCAAAACTGCAATTTTACAGTAGAGCGTTTCAAAGATTCAAATTAACCCAAAATCTGCATTTATTGTTGCATCTTTTTAAAATTTCGTATTTAATGTAATATAATTAGTCTTCTTAACTACGTTAAAAGAAATTTTAAGTAATATGTCTATTTGCGGAGATATTGTTCATACAACATTTTACTCCGGAGTAGAAGCTATGCCAGTTGTTGCATCTGATACTAACAACATTATACCGCGGCGCCCAGATAGCATCACTTGTGGTATATGATAGTTACAACTGTATACTTTGAAAAACATAAGTCTTACTCTGTTGTATGTGGTAATTATATTTATATTAGGTACAGAATTCAAATGTACAATTTGAAGGTGATTAATTTTTTAGGTTAATAAATAAAAAAGAAATGTTATTAAGGTTAATTTTTTTTATTAGAAACAACATCAGTGTTAAGAAGCTAATCAGATAATCTTTGAAAATAAAATAGTGAGCTTTTAAAACTTAATTAAATTACTTCTTCTTTTGCTGAATAATCAAAAACGTTTTAACACATAACAATCATACAAAAGACTTTTTAATACAAAGTTATAGAATAGGTAAGGTATTCTTAAGAACTAATCAAATAGAATTACAAAAATCAACATCACTATAAAAAATAAAAATATGAACTTAATTAATCATTTATATGAGATCAGCTTAAAATCAAAGTAGTAATTTGGAAACTATTCATAATTTTTGGCATGTACTTATTGGTTTATAATAATGATAAAGAAATTTTAAAATAAAAACAATTGTGTTAATTGTCAACCTAACAAACCTAAAATTAGCTTTTATGGGAGCCTTAAAACAATGTAAAACAAATAAATATTATTTTTATGAGATCAATATTAAAACCTGAGATGCTTAATCAAAGGCAATATAGAAAAAAGAAAAATAAATGGAATATTTGGAAAAGACTAATGTCTATTCTGAATCAGAAAATTCAGCGTTATTATTAACGCCAGCAACGAAAGATAAATGCCTGAAAAAGTCGTGATACGTAGCTGGAATAATTTCAGTATGACACAGGTTCATTAAGTCGTCATATTTTGCCTTAGTTATGGGAAGACGGTTGGAATACAAGGGGCATAGCTCAGCCATACTATTCCTTTGGCGTCTACGGGTATTGGTATTAAGAGCAATTGTCATAGCATTACTGTCTGCCAAATCGTACCGATACATAATTTTAAAAGGATCTTCTGCACATACCCTTACTTCTTTTATTTTATTCCATCTAACTACGTTCCCATTTACATTTTTAGACCAATTACGTCCAATCAAAAGTGTTTTATAGTTTAAAAAATCTGTATGCTTCATTTCTATGAAGTTATATGGTTTGCCCTCCTGTTTCGCCCATCGAAACAAGCTAAACCATTCAAAGGGTGTATAAATAAGTTTATTTTTGGACGAACGTTCTATTAGAGCATGTACGCTATCACCTTCTGCCTGGGTGTGACCTTTTTCAAGAAATGTATGTTTGATAGTAATATTAAGCTTATGAGCAATATAAACATAAAACGCAAACACAATACGATTGCGATTCTGACCGGCAAAATTGTCAGACCAGAATCTAAATTCTTTTGCACCTTGTTCATGCATTTTATGTATAAAATGAGAAAGACAGCCTGATACCTCATTAGAACCACGTTTGGCTTCTCCCTCGTGCCACATATAACAATGACCCTCTTTATTTGCTAAATCAAACAAAGTAAAATTAAAGACGGACAGCTTCCGTTTGTAATATAAAATACTCAATTGGCCATGGGGTGCATTGAGAATCTTTTGAAAATCAAAAGTACCAGCAATTATTTTACCTTCAGAAGATTTGCTTTCTTCTTTGTCAGACTTCATAAGCTGTCGGGATAACTTCTTGTTAGTGACGTGAATTTTATGATCGATGACTTGCTGTTCTGTTGGACCGTTAATATTTCTGAAGATGTGACACTGATCGCACTGATCTTTCTTAGGAATATGAAAACTGAGCTTAAAGTTTTCATTTACAATGTCTCGATATAGACGTTCGGATTTAGCTTTCTCTTCATATATATTAGATTGAAGCCACTCATTATACATTTCAAATAATTTATGAAAATTTAAATCTCCATCCAAATATAACTTATTCGACCTTTGCCTAGTAAAATGTGACTCAACTGGCTGCAAACTCTTGATATGGTCACACACACTGGTTATAACAGACTCTGTCTTTTTTACAGGGTGGTTTGAGTGTTTTCCTCTTTGATCTGGAATTAATACTCCAGTAGTCGTAGCCATCTTTTCTAGGGCCTTATTAATAACCTGATCACTGACGGAAATAGTGCTTGAGAAATCTTTTTTGCATACATCCACATAATTATCTTCACCATGATCTACTGGCAATGAGTACTTTAACGTGTACTTTCGTCTTGAAGTAGTGCTGTGTAGACCCTGCGTTTATTTTGCTTTTTTACTAAGCTGGCTATAAACATCCATTGTTTTTCTCGATTGCCCAAATTCCAAAAACTCTTAAATATCTTCTGTCTTTTTCCTTCACTTAATTTATCAAAACACTTCTTGCGGCATTGACATGGAGGCCCCATCTTTCTCTTTGCTTGGATTTTACCATTTCTTGACATGTACTCTTTTCCCATATTACGTAAATTCTTTCTCTTAGTGTCTATCCATTCATTAAAATGTCTTTTTCTTATATTACCTTTATCTTTCCTTAGTTGACGACGGCGATCGCTTGTGCTAGGACTATTATTCGAAATATCTGACAGCGGACTATAATTGTTTATTGTTGTATACGTTGAGCAGCTAGACAGATAACCTGGTGAGGGTACGGGCAAAATATCAAAAGTTGATAAGTTTTCCTTTTGTATATAATAATGGCAGAAATCATTATCACAGTCGTAGTCCAAGTGGTTGGTACCACAAGAAGGTGAAGGGTGCGATGTTTCGAGATTTGCAGTATCAGAATCGGAAGCAACTTCTAGGTTATTATGAAATATATCTGCATCAATTATGTTTGCTAGCTCATTAATATCCGACTCATTAAAGCTTATTGGTAATGGAGATTCTGAAATAATAATAATGTTTTGTATAATAAATGATCAGCAGATTTAGGCAATCAAACCTGAGACCTCGGCGTGCTAATACAATGCACTAGGTATGCATCTGGCTATTGAGGCAGTCCCTACTTACCATTTAAAGATCGACTTTTGAACTGATGACTTGACTTACAACGTAAATTTTAAGTAAAAAAAAAGTAAATCCAACGTAAAATATAGCATTTCACTATACAACTACATTTTGATGAACGATTTCCGAAGTAAAACGATGTATTTATTAGATACAACAAAATGTTTAACTTCAACGAAGACGTAAAACATTGTATGTATTACATACAACATTTTCGATGAACGCTCACCGGCGTATATTGTTGTAAGTAATCTATACAATAGTTTAGGTTGGGGCCACCATGAAAAGTGTTAGTAATCTAATTCATGCGACTAAAATAATACAAAAAGAAAATTACCATTCTTATTTTGTAGGTTCGAATCAGAGTAACTGTTTAATTCTATTTTATTTAATGAAATATTGTCCTTTTCAATGGGTGTATCGGAGTTGTTATTTTGTATATTCGCATAATTGAGCAAATCACATATTCGACGCCCTCTTGATAATATAATACTTGCACGTTTCATTATAACAAATAACAAGTAAACTAATTACGTCAATAAATTATCAAATAATATATGAAATGGCAACGGGCATGCGGCTGGTTGAAAGTCCGGCGTGGTCTGTTGTATGTAACCAATACGAGGCGCGAGCGCGTGATTCTACCCACCGCGCGCCCCGCGTACACAAATGCATAGGCATATACATTGGTCTACTCCGTTCGCGTTTGAAAATTACAACATTATGCGTGTGACAAATCCTTTAAAAATAGTGTTTTTGTTGTTTTTTACTTTGAATGGATATAATGATCCATATTAGGATGTTTTTCAGCAAAAAAGCAAAATAGCATTTTTGTGGCATACAACAACTTACGTGGGAGGTATCGAAATATTGGGCTTTAAAAGAAGTACTGAAATCCAACCATAACTTAACTATAAAAAGAACAGTCATGGACACATGCATACTTCCATGTCTGTCATACGGATGCCAAACCTGGATTTTTAACAAGGCGTTAATAAAAAAGATTGGAGTATGCCAAAGGGCTATGGAGCGCTCCATTCTTCAATTGAAACTTAAAGACAAAATAAAAAACAAGGTGATAAGAAGTCGCACAAAAATAAAAGATGTTGTAACTTATACAAAAAGGCTAAAATGGAAATGGGCCGGTCACATTGGCCGCATTTGTGATGGCAGATGGGTTAAAAAGACCCTTACTTGGAAGGGCTCAGTGGGAAGAAGAATAGAGGATGCCCACCGAAAACTTGGGAGGACGAAATAAAAGGGATAGCGGGGAAAAAACTGGAAAACTGCCGCAACAAATAGGGATAAGTGGAAGAATCTGGAGGAGGCCTTCACTCCATCGGAGGTCGAGTACAAGTGTAAAACTTAAAAGAAATGAACTTACTGTGTAGTTTAGTGTACTCGAATAAAGGCTATTTTTATTTTTTATTTTATTTATTGTACCAACACTCATATTAAATAGTCGTGTCCTAAAGAGCCTCGCTTACCAAACCATACCAAATAAGGTACATTGGTGACCCCATAACAACTTTGGTACAGTATTGCAGCGAAGTTGAAATATGAATCCAGCACAGCCACCATCGCCAGCAGCAGAGGCCGGTATGAGCGGTGGAGCCGAAATAGCTGTTGTGTCATTAACATCGAGGATCCCTGAATTCTGGACCGACCAACCACGGCTTTGTCCAGTGCGAAGCCATAATAACACCGCAGAAGCTAAGTCCCCTAAGTGATGAGAACAAGTACAACGATGGTAAAGTTTGGGCTTATCAGGATGATATTGTGATTTCTTCGGAGACGTTTGATGAACATTTAATTATTTTGGATAAGGTTGCACATATTTTAAAAGGTGCAGGTCTAACGATTAATATAGATAAGTGTCAATTTGCTAGGTCCAGCATGCGTTTTCTAGGTTACATTGTAGATAAAGAAGGGTTACGTACTGATCCCGAAAAAGTATCAGCGATTTTGAATTTTGAACGTCCTAAAACCTTCAAAGAGTTGAAAAGATTTATTGGTATTGCTAGTTGGTATAAAAGATTTGTTAAAAACTTTTCTGTTATAGCGGCTCCTCTTCATAGTCTAACAAAAGGGAAACAAAAGAAATTTATATGGACAGATGAAGCGGAAAAAGCATTTGTTGCTTTAAAAACTTTCCTAACATCAACACCTGTTATATCGTGTCCGGATTTTAAAGAGCCATTTATAATACAATGCGACGCATCAAATAAAGGTATAGGTGCTGTTTTAAGCCAAAAGATTGACGGTTTAGAAAAACCAATTGCATATCTAAGTAGAAAACTTAATGACCGAGAACAGTTGTATTCGACATCTGAAAGGGAATTATTAAGTATTGTTTATGCTGTAGAAAAATTTCGTCCATATGTAGATGGATCTCATTTTACTGTAGTGACGGATCATAGTGCACTTAAAATGATTCATAAAATGAAAGATCCCCATGGTAAACTGGCAAGGTCGGCTATGAAATTACAAGCATTCAGCTTCGATATAGTTCGAATGTAGTACCTGATGCTTTATCGCGATCAATTAACGCGATTGAAATTCAAGCTGATGGTGTGGAAATACGAGAAGAACATAAAAATACATGGTATAAAGTTAAAAGTGTCTTAAATAGTGATAGTGATATTAATTGGCGAGTTAGGGATGGCTTGTTGTATAAAAAGATTTGTGTGAAACAATATCCTGATAAGTCTAAGGCTAAGTTCAGATGACCGCGCGTAGCCGCGCGTCGCCGCGCGGTTGGAGCATTCACATGACGGTATATGTACGCGCGGCAGTGTGGCTTCAACATTGATTGACAATGGACGTGGAGGAGGCAATTTGCTTATGAATTTTATATAGAAGACTGAGACGTCGCAGAAGAAGACAAAGACGATACTGGGTGCATCCAATTTTAAGTGACAGACTTCTTTCCAGCCTGTTTGTCACTTTGTATCCCGACTTGAGGTTACACAAAGATAATTTTTTTAACTATTTCCGGATGTCAGTTGCATCCTTTGATTTTTTATACGATTCTATTGAGAATGATTTAAAATCCAGTGAAGATGCTATACCCAACCAATGCACCAAATACTTAATACCATATCTACGGTACTAATTTTACATCGATCTATGTGTCTTTCCGTCTCAAGCCGCGCGGATCAACTGAACAGGTCGATACACGCTTGCAAAACTTGTGCCGCGCGCGGCCGCGTGGAAGCGCGCGGGACAAGATCTTGCGCGCGGGTCGGAGCGCGCCGCGCGTTGGCGCGCGGTACCGCGCGGTAATGTAGACGATAATTACCGTTTATATTGATCTTGTACCGCGCGGTTCGTAGTTCCGCGCGGTACCGCGCGGTCATCTGAACTTAGCCTAATGATTGGATGTTATATATTCCGGAGATTCTTAGATCTACTATTTTGAAGCGCTGTCATAATGATGTAAAGGCGGGTCATTTAGGCATTCGGAAAACGGTTTTTAGAGTAAAACAGTATTATTATTGGCCAAATATTTTAGGTGATGTGAAACGCCACGTCGGTCAATGTGAAATTTTTGCAAAATTTAAAGTTTCTCAACGTTTGCCTTTTGGTCACATGGGTCATCAAAGGCATGTTAATAGTCCGTGGCAAATTATATCATTAGATTTAATGGGACCTTTTCCAAGAAGCAAAAGTGGTAACACTATGCTTTTAGTTATAACCTGTTTTTTTAGTAAATTTGTTTTACTATTTCCAATTAGAACTGGTAAAGATCAACGAGCAAGACGATCCGCTATCAAACAAAAAGGAGACTGACTCACCGGATGACATCCTCAATGTGCCCCTCGACAGCCGTTGCTCGCAGACATTGACCTCTTTCCTTGCAGTAGATACACTGCGTTTTACCTTTTCTTTACAATTTGTTGCCACGTGTCCAGCCTGACCGCATATGTAGCAGGTTACGGTAGAAGTTTTCTCGGGGGCACGTGTTGCAGTTGACGGATCTTGCTGCTTAGTCATCCTAGAAGAATCAGAAAATCTTGCGTCCGCAATTCTAGGTCGCTTGAAATCAGGCTCTTGGATTTCAGTAACCTCCGATCTTCGCTTTAGGGAAATGCCTCTTAAGATTCTAAACAGCTGAGGTTTAGTAGTGACAGTACATGCATTTAGCTCACGGCGTATCAAACCATCCTTCCGACAAAAGACCTATATAACTAATCCAGTTATAACACCTTTTGGCATTCGGGTTATAGATATAGATTCGATCATATTCCATAAGCGCAGGCCAGCTTCTGCTGCAGTTTCTTTTGTTCCAAATTGAAAACGCAATATTTCATCTTAGTAGTCTTGAAATAATTTTGATTTATAAAATCTGGCCATTAAACTTTGTTTTACAATCTCCCATGTCAGCTCATTCAAATTTAACTTGCTCAAGCAAGAGGCTGCGAATGTGAAGTGAAAATGTGAAGTCAGTACTATAAGCTCTGTAATCTTACACCAACCTTCTATATCCGCGTCTGCGTCTTCCGGATTAAACTCTACGAGTTTCACTGTACTAGACTGGGCGTTAGCAGTTGCCACCGGTGGTTGCGAAGTCGCTAACATCCGAGTAAGTAAAATTTCCATCTTACTTAACAACTTCAAGGGGCTATTTTCGTCAGGTGGTTGTTTTTCCTCGGTCGGTGCGCGTGGGATCCCACTTCTGATATGGGTGGATGCCCTTTTATCATAAGAATCAGCCATGTCTTCAATAAGTTGTAATGTGGGTAGGAACAAAAGAATCACAAAAAGTATCTCCCTTACAGCAATTCACTAAAATCTATTCACTAGAAATTAGGGAATCACTTAATCAATCACTTTTAATTAGTTTTGAAACAACAAGGCACAAGATTACTCGGAACAAAAGCGATTCGTCGCAAACGTGCCGTGGGGTGCCGGCTCATAGAATAGCACCTCTCCATCTCTACCCGTGGGTGTCGTAAAAGGCGACTAAGGGTTATTAAGGCGTAGGGAAGTGACCCCATCGCCCTCTGGTGGGATAACACGACGCGTAAGCCGCTCCCGACTGGTTCTTGCTGAAAAATCTAGCGGGATGCGGCCTGAGAGAGAGACACTAAAAAAAAATATATATAGTGTTTCGTAGCATACGAGGCCAAGGCGCTCGTGATGTTGGCGAGCCAGGCGCGAGGCTGATTTCGGACATTTGTGTTACTCATTCATATTTATGTCCAGAACACCTGAATTCCAAGCTTTGGTGCCCGGTGATGGAATGCATGGCCGGAGGGTTAAATCCGGTCATTAGGGTACCAAAGAGGGAGCTACCCCTCTTTAATATGAAAAGCAGTAAAAGCATGGAAAGTAACGAAAATGTAAAAACTACCCCAGGAGGGTTAAATCCCTCCCATGACCAGGAGGTCATGGCAGCCGGTCCGCATCGTATTCTGGGGGCGGACCACTCCCGTGCAACAGATTCCAAAAACAAACAACCTGGCATTAATACGGAACACCTGAATAAGCTTACGGACTGTAGCGGAAGGTTGGAGGAGTGCTCTAGCGCTTTTCCGCCACCATCTACACAAGGAGAGAAAACTGTACCAGGAGAGCGCAGAGGTCCCCTCGAGCGCATTCCGAGTATGGATACATCATCGGCGCGCAGTGCGACCAGGAAATTCACCATGGCTGACGAGATGGAATCAGACTCAACCGGCTCCATGGTAAGCATAGGCTCAACGCACAACCATCAGAGTCCCCGAGTCGTGGGTGAAGCTCCTTGCACCCGGGGAGAAGCTGCGCTTTTGGCGACCTCGTAAGAGAACGAGACAGGATGATGAAGAGAGCAGCTGCAGCGATAGCCCGAGTCTGTCGCGCGATCGCACGAAAGCGGGTTACCAAAGAGCGCGGAGGGTGGAGAGAGAGAGCGAAGCCGAGGCGGAACTCGCGGCTTCAAATGAGAAACCCTCAGAGACGGGTACGCTCGGTAGCGCTAGAAGACGAATTGAAGAAAACCTAGCTGCCGTAGAGAAGGTGGCTAGGTGTTCAATGAACCTCAAAGGCACCTTCGTTGCCGCACTCAAGAAGGCCGTTGTTGCAATTAGGACAGATGCAGATAGCCTAGCAGTGCAAACACTTTCAGACGAAACACGCGCCCTTCAGATAGAAAATGAACGCCTTCGGGCACAACTGGATCTCTTACAAGACCAAATGCGCGAGCTCAGGTCGTCAATGCAACAAGCTCGGAAGGATTGCCCACCTTTCAACGTAGAAGAACTGGAGGCTCGAATTATCCGCCAGGTGGGGAGCGCCTAAATACTCAATTTGAGGATATCGGACCACAACCCAACCAAGAACCGCCACTACGTTCCCTTCTGGCTACAGACTGCAGAAAAAACACAAAAAGCAAGTCGAAACCATCACTTAAAACGTCGACGCGTGAGGACTTCCTTATTGAAGCAGCAGCCCCGAAGACGAAGCGGGGGAAAGGAGAAGGCAATCCAGCAGACAGAGCCGACTGCCACAGGGGAAAAGGCGCAACGACAGTCGAAACGTCTGGCGAAAGCGGCAAGATCGAAAATGATGGAAGGCGAAGACCTCCCTATAGCCTCACTCGCAGTTGCATCCCCGCACACCCCCTCTATCGCTGTCCATCCCTGCCGCGGAGGGCTGGAAAATTGTCTCCAAAAAAGACAAAGTGCAACAACAGCGACTCCAAGAAATGCAAAAGTTCCAAAGTCGGAAAAATCTAAAGTAGGCAAGCCCCTCTTCAACCACTGCCCAAGCTAAAGGTGCCCCGCACCGCTGCGATAGTACTTACAGTGCCGAAGGACGCCGAGGCAAGAGGGGTCACCTATGCTGCAGCCCTAAAGGAGGCTCGGGCCAAAGTGGATCTGAAGGAGGCCGGTATCGAGGCCGTTAAGTTCCGCCGCGCCGCCAAGGAGCCACCATAATTCAAATTCCCGGGGTGGGTAGCGGGGAAAAAGCCGACACTTTGGCCGAGCGACTCAAAATAGCATTAAGTGACTCCGGGATTAAAATCACACGGCCTGTAAGATGCGCTGACGTCCGCGTCTCTGGTTTAGATGACTCTGTCACTCCGGATGAACTGCGCGAGGCCATCGCGGCCAAAGGCGAATGCCCGATTGATCAGATAAGGGTGGGCCGCATACGACAGGACAGGTCGGGCCTTGGCGCCGCCTGGGCCAACTGCCCGGTTTCAGCCGCCAAGAAACTGCAAATGGGGCGTTTTCTCGTCGGCTGGGTAGCGGCGAGCATAAGCGTCGCCAAACCAAGAGAGCTGCGGTGTTTCCGCTGCTTGCAGGTCGGGCACGTAGCCAGCCGCTGCGTGTCAGAAACCGATCGTAGCCGACTGTGCTTTCGCTGCAGTCAGCCCGATCACAGGGCAGCCACTTGTAGGGCAAAACCAAAGTGCTCGCTCTGCGAGGAGGCGGGCAGGAAATCAGACCACAGACTGGGAGGTAGCAGTTGCACTGCTCCCAGCGTGAGGGTACCTAGGTATCGCCCATCACCTAAAAAGAAGACACCTACAAAGTCCCCGCGCAATAATGCGCCTATGGAGGTTATCGAAATTGTAGCCAATCAATATGGCCCTGCGGTTTCTACAGTGTAATATAAACCACTGCGCCGCAGCGCAAGACCTACTACACCAGAGTCTGGCGCAGTGGGACATCAACGTCGGCATAATATCTGAGCCCTACGTAATACCGGATAGAGGAAACTGGGTGGGTGACCTCGATGGCTTGGCCGCAATCGTCGTTACACCGGCGGACGGTTCGCCCTGCATCGGACCAGTTAGAAAAGGCCACGGCTATGTGGCAGCAAAACTGGGAAGCGATATGTGCATCATCAGCACCTATTTCTCCCCCCAATCGCTCTTTGGCTGAGTTTGAAACCTATCTAAGGGCCGAAACACATAAGCGCGTTGCGGCGCCGCGCCGCTGAAATCGGCAGTGCGCTATAGCGGTGCGGCGCCGCAACGCACGACGTGAATTCCAGCGTTATGACGTCATACTTGTTGACAATGATGCAGTTTGTTTCTAACACTCTTGCAAACAACACGTGTCAACCGAGAAGCAGTTTTAAAATTAAAATGTCTGACGTTGACGTCGATCTGTTTATATCTTCGGTTCAGGAACACCGTTGTTTGTGGGATACTAGTGACGAAACCTATAAAGACAAATTTATAAAACAAGAAGCATGGAAAAGCATTTGTGAGATCGTTTATGTTGATTACAAGGAAAAAAACTCAACCGAAAAATCAAAACTGGGTAAGTAGTAACATATAGTCTTAGGCAATGATATTTTAAACTAAAGATAAGTTATGTTCATAGTAATTTACGTTTTAAATCTGTTCCTGTGTTTAAATCATTACCTCCCACTTGATTCAAAACTATATTCATATTTTGTTTAATTGCCAACTTAGGGCGCCAACATCACTGGAAAAGTAATTACAAAAATCATTCCGTATTAGATGTGGGCTTAAATTATTTTCATTTGCTGTGGGCAAATGCAACATTTGCAGATCAGAATCATCAAAGATAATGTCATCGGTCGCTTGTACTCCATCTCGATTCAAAACAAAGTTGTGCATTACACAACATGCCTTGATAATGTCTGTCGCAAATTCGTATTGCACATTCATAGATCGATGAAATATGCGCCATTTATTGGCTAGGATGCCAAAAGCGCACTCGACATATCTTCGGGCACGACTCAGTCGATAATTGTAAACTCTTTGTTGTACCGACAAATGTTTTCCTGAGTAAGGGCGCATGACGTTATTCGAAATTGAGAATGCTTCATCTCCTACAAAAACAAATGGAGTTTCATTTTGAGAACCTGGTAAAGGCTTTGGTACAGGAATAGGTAATTTGCGTGTCATAATCAAATCATAAAGTTTAGAGTTCTGGAAAACGGTGGAGTCACTTTCCTTGCCATACGCTCCTATATCGACAAAAATGAATCTATATCTAGAATCTACAAGAGCTAATAAAACTATTGAATTATAGCCCTTATAATTGTAAAACAGTGATCCACTGTGCGCAGGACATGTAATACGGACATGTTTACCATCAAGAGCTCCTATGCAGTTAGGAAAATTTGCTTTCTTGTCAAACTCAATAGCGACATCTTCTAGAACCTGTTTTGTTATAGGAGGTATATTTTGACTTGATAGATGTTTCCATATGGCGCGACAAACTGTCCTTACAATTTTGCTATTGTACTTGCTCCTCGGAAGTAATTCGTATGCATGGTTTTAAAGTCACTGCCGGTTGCTAGAAATCTAAAATGAAATAATAATTAGTAGGCAAATAATAAAATAATACAAATGTAGGTATAATCAAACTCAAACCGCGCAGGTAATAGTGTTGCTAAAGGAATAGATTTTCAAAGATAGACAGGTAGTTTTTCAAAGAAGTACTCAATAAATATTTTACATTATGGTTGTTCTAGGCAAAGTCAATCAGTTTTTAACTTGCCTAAGTCAAGAAAAAGCAGAAAATTATTCTTTTTCGGCGGCCAGCCATTTATATGAAATTGGATGGACCGAAAGTACTTATGAAAGTTATATCAAATTTTATATGTAGTATAAATGGAATCTAGGGAATTTTAGTCTTTATTACTATTTTTCACTTGTGAAGTTTTTTGTTGCAGGTAATGATTTAGTCAAGAAGTGGAAGGCCATAAAAGATAATTTTGCTAAATATCAAAAAAAACTAAAAGATGCCAATCGATCAGGAGCTGGAGCTGCAAAAATTAAAGAATATCACTTGAATAAACAATTACAGTTTTTGAAAAAGGTTTCACAAAATGCAACTGATTCCAGTTTATGCGTAGCGGAAGGAGATATTGAGAATGAAATAACGGCATTGCCTCGTTATAAAAGTCAACCACGAAAACGAAAGGCAGATGATAAGGATGATATTGAAGAAGATTTATTGGCAATATTAAAAACACCGGAGAATAGACATTTGCATTTTTTCAAGGGGATTTTACCATCTCTACAATCGTTAAATGAGAATCAAACATTGATATTTCAAAGTCGGGTGCTTCAAATATTAACCGACATTCTTCAACCTTCAATTCATCAAAATACACATCACGGCTATAATCAAGAATATCAGCATCAGGGTTACAATCAAGGATATTCAACTATGAGATACGATAATACGGTTCAGAGTGGCTACCACACTTCTACTCCTGGAAGTTCGATTACTGAACAGAGGACTACCTCATCATCAAACCAACAACGTCCAATAAATTCACCATTTTTACTGGACGAAACGTCAGCTACTTCCTATGTTTCACAAGATGAGGAGTTTGATTTTTCTTAAATTGATCATTACATTTTTTAAGGCCTATTAAAGTATTCTTAAAGTAGGAAAATTGTATAATGCAAAAAGCTTAATTTGATTCTGTCTTGTTTCATTTGAACCTGGCTTTGTACCACTAGGTACCCCCAAACCATGAACACTAGTGATGCAAAATTTTTATCGACACCCCGCTAGTACCACAGGTGTATAAAGCCAGGGGTACAAATAAAACTAAACATTTGATTCCGAGTGCCATAAACATCAATAAAAAAAAATAAGAAACCTATTTGTTTTACCTTAAAGTTAAGCCCAGCATTTCCAAAGCAGTAACTGGTTTTCTTCCTTTATTTTTTTTTCTTCTGTATATATTTTGATAACTCGCTTAATAGCTCTTCAAATGATAATATACTCATTCTAAAGTAGGCAACAAATTTTTTTTCGTCTATCTTTAATGCTTCGTATTTTTTAGAAAAGAACTCGCCATTTGGATTCATACCCTTACTTAATGGATGTATCCAGTATCTTCTTTGCCGTATTTTTAAGATAGAATAATGTCTTCTTAATAACAAATAAGCAATAAGTTTATTACGATCCATCGCAGAGAGACGTCTATCCACACTCAAAAATCACGAGAAAATGGTTGCCCTACCATAATGCCCTGTTTCGCGACGCCGCAACGCGGCAACGCAACTGCCGATTTTGGCGTTGCGGCGCCGCAAAAATAAGCAGTTTGCGTTATGTGTTTCGGCCCTAAGGGAACTAGATAGCGTGGTGGACTGGAGCCGCCCGAGACATTTAATCGTCGCTGGGGACTTAAACGCAAAGTCTGCGGTGTGGGGATCGTTGGTGACCAGGCCGCAGGGAGACACGCTAGAGAAATGGACTGTTGCGCACAATCTGTCAGTTGCAAACAGGGGCTCCGAAGCTACATGCGTGCGAACGAACGGAGAATCCATCGTAGACGTAACATTCGTAAGTCAACATCTGTCCCGCTGGGTCCAGGGTTGGGAAGTCCTAACGGGGGTTGAAACCCTATCAGATCACCGTTATATCCGGTTCCGTACTCTCGCCCCGTCATCGTATCCGGAAATCAGCCCGAGTTTGTTAAAACTAGGCCCAACCTGGGCCCTTAGAAGCCTAGATAAGGAGCAAGCGGAACTAGCCATAACTGTTCAGGCTTGGTGCCCCAATCCAGAACCTATAAATACCGAGGACGAGGCAATGTGGTTTCGTGACGCTCTGACGTGCATATCCGACGCCGCAATGCAAAGAAGCCGCCCTGGACGTCGCCGACAAAGTGTATTCTGGTGGTCGGTGGAGCTCGCCCAGCTACGGGCTGTCTGCGTTACCACCCGTCGCCTTTACACTAGGGCTCGCAGACGACGTCCCCTATGTGCCGAAGAGGAAAGCCGAACCCACTGTGCATTCCGAGAGGCTAAACAGGCGCTAAGAATTGCGATTGCTGAATCAAAAAAAAGGGCATGGCAGGAACTACTAGAGACGATAGAGCGGGATCCCTGGGGGCGCCCGTACCAGATAGTTACAAATAAACTGCGCCCCTGGGCCCCACCTCTCACAGTTACAATGGAGCCAGACCTGCTAAGCACGGTGGTGGCAAAACTTTTCCCCGAGCGGAGTACGCCAGATCTGCACCAAGGGACGCGCATCGAACACGTTGAAACCATCCCTGAGGTATCCTCTTCGGAATTAGAGACGGCAATAGAGCGGATGTCCACAAAAAAACCGCGCCGGGGCCTGATGGCGTGCACGGGCGAATCCTGGCCCTCACCCTCACCGCTGGTCTTGGCGTGCGATATCAGTGCCTCCTCACAGAATGCTTGCGAAATGGCCACTTCCCGTTGGCATGGAAGACTGGACGACTGGTGCTATTAAGAAAGGGCAAAAGCCCCCAGAGTCACCCTCAGCGTATCGCCCAATAGTCCTGCTAGATGAAGCTGGCAAGCTGTTCGAGCGGATCATTGCCGGTCGTATTTACAAGCACCTAGAGTCTGTGGGCCCTAACATACACGAAGCGCAATTCGGGTTTAGAAAGAGGCGATCAACAATAGACGCTATCGCTCGACTTCGAGCAGTGTGCGAAGAGCAGCTGTCCCGCGGTGGTGTGGCCTTAGCAATATCGTTGGACGTCGCCAACGCTTTTAACACACTGCCCTGGGAAAATATCGAGGCAGGCCTCAAATATCACGGGCTACCGGAGTACATACAAAAGTGTATTGCATCGTATCTTACAGGACGCCGAGTCGTTTACCCATCTAAACATGGTCTCAGGGAGCGACTTATCAAATGCGGTGTTCCACAGGGCTCCGTTCTTGGACCGCTGCTATGGAACATCGGCTACGACAAGGTACTCAGGGCGGAACTAGTCGCGGGAGTGACAACTATCTGCTATGCCGACGACACACTCGTGGTTGCTTGTGGGCAGGATTACAAGGAAGCGCGATTACGCGCAACTGCTGGAGTAGCCAGAGTTGTGTCCGAGATTAGAAAGCTTGGTCTCACAGTCGCCCTCGCCAAATCGGAGGCGATATGTTTCCACGGCCACCGCAGAGCGCCACCACAAGGTGAAAGCATTATAGTCGGCGGAGTATCTATCCTGATCGGCTCCACACTCAAATACCTAGGGCTTGTCCTAGATCCTCGGTGGACGTTCAAGGCGCACTTCACGACACTTGCCCCCAACCTTACTACCACAGCAGGTATGCTCTCACGCATAATGCCAAACCTAGGCGGGCCGGGTGGAGAGTGTCGCCGCCTATACGCTAATGTAGTGCGAGCGAAGGCATTGTACGGGTGCCCAATATGGGCGGATAAGCTGAACCGGTACAACAAAACCATCCTCAGGCAGTCGCAGAGAGTAATCGCAATTAGGGTCGCGAGGGCGTACCGCACGGTTTCGTATGACGCAGCGTGTGTTATAGCCGGCACCACACCCTGGCACCTCGAAGCGGATGCCTTAAGCGAAGTTTATTGGAGGAGGGCCGAAGCTAGGCACAATAGTAATGACCCAGCGCTCGGAGCAATCAAGTCGTGGAAAATTTCCGAAGAAAACGAAGCAATAAGACAGTGGGCGGAAGAACTAGCTACTGCGAGCGCTGGGTTCTACACCATCAACGCGTTCAGACCACATCTCGACAAATGGGTGAGGAGGCGGTGGGGCCGCCTCAGCTACCGACTCGTGCAGATATTGTCCGGACACGGCTGTTTCGGCAGCTATCTGCACAAGGTAGTCGGGCGTGAGGAGGCACCAACCTGCCACCATTGTGACGCTGGTGTTGTTGATGATGCGCTCCACACCTTAAAGGATTGCCTAGCATGGGAGGTGGAAAGGAGGCCTCTACTGGGCGTGCTACAGGGCGAGGACGCTATCCTCGATAACATTGTGAGAGTAGCAGTTACAAACACGGACAGTGACGGCATGTGGGAAATCTTCCAGAGATTCTGTGAAGCCGTCATGCACAAAAAGGAAGAGGCGGAAAGGGCCAGGGAGGATGATCCTGCAGCCCACCCGCGTCGCCGTAGGAGACCACAGCGCCGCCGTTGCACCGTGCAACCCCGTGTGTAATCCTGGGCACGCAGTTGCTCCAGCGGGGGAACAGGGGTCCATGCGTCGAAAAGAAGGGATGCTAACGCATCCCTGCAAGCATCGTGCCCGACCTCCCCCAGCTTTATAAACAGGGTGACTTGGCCGATGTGAAAGGCCCTTGCTGTGCCAAGGTCCATTCCACATCATTCGTGGCCGTAGAGGACCGTGATACTAACGGCTGATCGCGTGGCTGGATGCGGACAAGGCCACGCTGTTACCGTGTCCTGCCCCGGGCGATTGCTGGTGGCGCCGTGGGGTTTTAGTGGGTATGCACTGTTGTGCGAGTCCCACATAACCCTTCCCCCAAGGTCAACCGTGCCGCGGGAGGGTATGCTTAACGCATTTCCCCACGAAAAAAAAAAAAAAAAAAAAAATTAACATCGAGGATCCCTGAATTCTGGACCGACCAACCACGGCTTTGGTTTGTCCAGTGCGAAGCCATATTAACACCGCAGAAGCTAAGTGATGAGAACAAGTACAACTTAGTCGTTGCAAATCTAGAAAAAGATGCACTTCATCAAGTAAGTGACATACTTCTTAACCCACCGGCGACCTTGGGGTTCCATACCTTGAAAGACCGCCTGTTGAAAGTATACGAAGAGTCCGAATTCAGGCAATTTTAAAAAAGGTTAAAAGAAAAGATATTCCACATATAACACAGAGTTATTAGAGTTATAATGCTCAACGTTGAATGTTCCAACTACAGCAACGCTTCGCACAATTGAGCACTCTCAAAACTAATGCTCTCGCGTGCTTCTCGCAATCAATACCAACACAGTGACAGAAAATTGACCAGTGTTTTTGACCACTTAAAGTTATGCCAACTTATCGAAATTTTCGTTAGTAAATATTATTTATTGTTGAAAAATTTGTAAGGCTTTCGTTTCGTCGTAGATTTTGAAAATAATTAAAGTTATTTCAAAATGCTAAAAAAAATAAATATAAGTATGGATGAAGGTTAGGAATAGTTACTTTTTTTATATTCCACATTTAAAATATGAATACAATTTTATTTTAAAATTCGGATCTGTAAACAAACTTATTTCACAGGATTTTACTTTTGTAAACATTGCAATGGTTTTGAAAAAGTATATAATTTTTTTAGAAATCATTTAAACAAAATTACTCAAAACGTAAATGATGTAAACTTCTTACATGAAACTAAATATTTTACTGTTAATAATTTAGCTTGTTAAAACCTTATATTCTTTTAAGGTTTTCTCTTATTTCAGTAAAGAAATGTTAATGAAATAATTTGATTATTAAAATAAGCGTAAATAGTTTTCAATCAATTATTATTGTTTACCACATTATTTATACATTAATGAGGTTGCTAACTCTATTCAGAACATTTTTTTTTCAACACTGACTTGGCGCACTCTGCTGATGCATTTGAAAACTAATTCACGTTCCAATTAAGCTTCAGCATAATGCGGCATTGTGCGGCACTGAGTCGCATTATGCTCTGTAATTGGAAAACGCACAGTATCTCCACATGGACATTTTATTTTCAGCGATAGGTCAGCATTTACACATGGATATAGTGGGACCATTAATTTACTGCGAAGGATTCAGATATATTGTTACTATGGTAGATAGGAAAACGGGTTGGCCAGAAGCTTATCCTGTAAAAGACATTAGTGCTGAAACTGTTACAGAGATCATGTATTCAGGATGGATATCAAGATTTGGGTGCCCCCTACATATTACTACCGATCAAGGATCCACATTTTTGTCACAATTGTTTACACATTTGACCAGAAGAATGGGCATAAATAAATTTAGAACAACAGCGTACCATCCACAGACGAATGGCCTCGTAGAAAGATAGCACAGGTCGCTTTAAGCTGCATTGATGTGCAGAGGAAGAACAGAACAATGCGTATCAGAATCAACAACTGTTTTAATGGGATTAAAAGCAAGTTTAAGGGATGATACTAAGATGAGTCCAGCAGAAAAGGTATATGGAGAAGCCATACGATTGCCTGGAGATTTTTTTGAGCCGATGAAGCTAGAAAATTCCGACAATAATATGTTTGTTCGAGAACTTCGTAGAAAAATCAATCAATTCATCTTCAATTCCAAGGAAAGAGCAACATCAGGGAAAAATATTTTTGCTTCCAGAATTGAAGACTTGTACACATGTATCGGTACGTGTGGATAAGGTCACTAAACCTCTTACTCAACCGTATATAGGTCCATTTCAAGTTTTATCCAAGACAGAAAAATATTTCAAAATTATGCAAGGAGATACACAGAAAGTCGTTAGTATAGACCATTTAAAGCCAGCGTATGCAATAAGTCAGTATAGACCGTTTAAAGCCAGCGTATGCAATAAGACACTCCAAAGACCTAGATGCACCAAATGAGGAAACAACTTTAGTAAACAATAGTTCAAAAGTATCGAGATTCGGACGACTTATTAAACCTGTCGTAAGATTTCCGTTTTAAACATACTTAAGTTTTACTGATTTGTATTTTATTTTTTATTTTAAAATTATAAAGGATGTTCTAGTTTACGGAATCAAATATTGTTAATTAACATCATTTTATTTTTTATTGTGTATTTACATCTTAAATCTGGTTCTTGAAAAGTTATAGAAATTATTTTATTTTGTTTGTAATAGTACGGGAGGTAGCAACGTTTGAAAAGAAAGAATTTTAGGTCAGCTGATTTTGTGATATGTCTTCCTTCTTGCACTTTCGGTTAGAGTCTGGGCAATCTGGCTGGCGGTAGCGGTTGCATTCATTAGTGCGCATCCTATCTGTCCGGTAATAATCCTGGATTTTAAAAGCATTTTAAGAAGCGTAATTTTTAATTTTTCGTTTTTAAATAAGTCTACCTGACATACTTTTTTTATTGCCAGACATTTTTCACATTGCTAACTATGTGCCAGACGCGATTTTAAGTTTTTTTTTATAAAAATTTCAAAGTATTTTAGAATGTCTGTCATTTTAATATTATGTTCTTTAAATATAAGAAAAACTAAAAATGAATTTGCCAGACATTAATTCGATTGTTAAGCCTTGAATTAAAATGAAAAAGTATTGCAGTATGATGAAGCATTGCATTTGAGGAAGCGTTATTTTTAAATTTTTTTTGTTCAGAATCTTCTCACACGATAATGATTCTTCAATAGTTTTAATTACTTAGTTATTTATCACTTTGTATGAATAACATTTATAAAAACTTACGTAAATGTTTTTATTACCAATGAAAGGCATCATACTGCCATACTTTTCATGACTTTTTCATTTTAATTCAAGACTTAACAACCGAATTAATGTCTGGCAAATTCATTTTTAGTTTTTCTTATATTTAAATAATATTAAAATTACAGACATTCTAAAATACTTTGAAATTTTTATAAAAAAAAAATTAAAATCGCGTCTGGCACATAGTTAGCAATGTGAAAAATGTCTGGCAATAAAAAAAGTATGTCAGGTAGACTTATTTAAAAAGGAAAAATTAAAAATTGCGCTTCTTAAAATGCAACGCTTCATCATACTGCAATACTTTTTCATTTTAATTCAAGACTTAACAACCGAATTAATGTCTGGCAAATTCATTTTTAGTTTTTCTTATATTTAAAGAACATAATATTAAAATTACAGACATTCTAAAATACTTTGAAATTTTTATATAAAAAAAATTTAAAATCGCGTCTGGCACATAGTTAGCAATGTGAAAAATGTCTGGCAATAAAAAAAGTATGTCAGGTAGACTTATTTAAAAAGGAAAAATTAAAAATTACGCTTCTTAAAATGCTTTTAAAATCCAGGATATTACCTGGACAGATAGGATGCGCACTAAAGAACGCAACCGCTACCGCCAGCCAGATTGCCAAGACTCTAACCGAAAGTGCAAGAAGGAAGACATATCACAAAATCAGCTGACCTAAAATTCTTTCTCGAAAACGTTGCTACCTCCCGTACTATAACATTTGCTTGTTTTTTTATGTCTTGCATGTATTTTTATTTTTTATTTTATTAAGGGGGATGAACTGTGCCTACATGATTAATATAAATGCACCAATGTTATAGACACCTAAATAGACATGTCCTGAAGAGCCTCGTTTCATTACAATACACAGTATAAGGTACTGTGTATAAGGACATAATAATACCAAATAAGGTACACCAGAAAACTAATGAATAATGATGGAGCAGACTCTAGATTCCTTAATTCAGATGTTCGAGTGGTTCAGTTTGCCCTCCAGCAACATATGTAGTATGTACCTCCCAACATTAACCCATACACAAATATATACACATGTATTTGTACGTGTCACTAAACCTCTTGCGTTTATGGGAATTCATTTGGAGGACGTAGGAAAGGGGCAAAGGGGTTCCAACGAGATCGCTTCCGGTCTTTACAAGTTTTTCACTTTTAGTGAAATAGGATACACTACAGATAAAAAGCAATTAATTTTTTGGTCAGATAACTGTGGTGGACAAAACAAGAACCAAGCTGTAGGTACTTGGTATGTTCCTCGTTTTATTTGCAAAAGGTTTCTTTTCGGAAATTACTCATAAATTTCCTGTAAAGGGACATTGTTTACATTTCTCGCCTGCTATATTTGCGACCATTGAAAAAGCGAAAAAGTGTGCAAAGTGCTACTCATTCCAAAAGACCTTATGACCTATTCAAATGCTGGCAAAAAAACCATTCTTGGTAGTTAATAAAACCTTTTTTTTTTAATTGGATGAATCTGGCTAAAAATATGATTCATACCAAAAAGATACAGCTATCTTCGGCAACGATGATTCGCCTAATATCTGAAAATTTTGTTTTTAAAAAGAACTCGACGTAACTCGAATTTGCTAATTAGATATCAACTCCAGTGCTTAGTACTGGAATTACTAAGACGAATTCTGAGAAACTACAAGACATGATGGAGACACCTGTACCTTTATCTGCCGAGAAAAAGAAAGACATTGGTGCTATGCCGCCGTATTTAGCCGGAGATAGCAAACCTAGATGATAGATGTTTTATGAAAACCATTTAAAATAAAGATATTTAAAGTTGAGTTATGTACAAGTAATATAACACTCACAAAATTATGACTTGCATAAATATTGGCACTTAAAACGTTTTGTTTTTTTTAGAAAGACAATAATATTATTTCGTTGTTTTGACAGAGCACAAAAATTGTGATAAATTATTAGTAATAAAAGATAATTTGATGATATTCTTTTTTTATTGCTTTCCTCTTTCTCCATTAAAAATGTTTTTTGTACCTCCTGAAAATGTTACTTTCTAGCACTTAAAATTTGACATTTCGAAACACAAAATACAACTATTCATTTTTCAAGTCGAAAAAAGATCAATGCACTATATGTGCTAGATATGATCAAGCTGAATCTAATTAAGAATCGTCTCTTGAAGAAAAATACAGAAACAATTTGAAAATTGAAAAATGAATGAAAGATTACGAGAAATGAAAAAAAAAGAAAGAAAAGTGAAAAGTCAGAGAAAGCATACACTTTCGTGGCTATTTTTGATTTAGAAAAAGTTTTGAATGTACCACAGTATTTTATTTACAATAAAATAAAATATCCCGTGTACAACATTACAGTTAAAGAAACATGAAAATTAGAACTGTCTACACTCCCGATCAAATTTATGGAAGCATAATTATTGCGAAAGTGACTGGGGAGAAATACACCCTAAATGAAATGAGTTAGTCTGAGTTTCTTGTTATGAAAAAGCTTGTGGTGCCTATAAGATGGCAGCAAGATAAAAATGGAAAAAAGGTGCGCTGCGCGAAGTCAGTGTCTGTCATGAAAATCCGAATAACTTCTTCTTAAGTATATTTTTAATGAGGAATACTCTGAACTACGTATAGATACCTAACAATACATCAACAGTCGGAAACAGACAGCTTCGTGGGCGAAAAGATGACAGTTAAGTTCAAGCCCCATAAGTGAGGATTCAAATTATGCGTTTTATGCTCTCTGTCTGGGTATGTTTACAGTTGGCATTTACTCAGGAGCTAAGGATAATAACTGTATCAAATACAGTTATTCGATTGTTACGACCAGTAAACCAAGGCAAGTCAATCATCTTATTTTGACAATTTTTATACGAATATTCCTTGTCTACATTACTTAACCAACGAAGGTATTTATTGTCTTGGAACAGTACAGAGAAACAGGCTTGGAAAGTCGTGCAAGTTGCCGGAGAAACAGGAAATTATGAAGACTAACGTAGTCAGAGGAACATATAACGAAAATGTGGCCTCTCACGAACGCCAAGAATTGTCGGCCACAAGTTGGAAAGACAACAAACAAGTACTATTACTTTCCACGTATGTGTAACCACATACTATAACCCGCTAAAAAAAAACTAAAGGCCAATGTTCAAGTATCATGTCCTCAGGTCATAAAAGAATATAATGCACACATGGGCGGCGTTGATTTGATGGATAGCTTCATTGGTCGATATCGCATCCGCATAAAGTCGAGAAAGTGGACAACGAAGCCCTTCTACCACTTGTTAGACATGACTGTCATCAATGCTTGGCTCCTATACAAAAAGGTAAACACAGTGAAAGGAAAACTTCAGAAGAATATTATGAAGTTAGCAGATTTTATAACTGAGCTTGCCGATACTTTATGTAGATATCAAAGTCACTCGAAAAATAAAAGGGGAAGACCCAGTACCAACAGTCGACAAGATACTACAGTACCTTCTAAAAGACCCCGGACAGGTGCACAAGTGCTACCCTCTACTGACAACTAATTTCAAAACAAGGATAGGGGCAATTACGGGCAGTTGTCTCCTTAATAAACATCTTTTTGTCCTAGGCGCGACAGACAGCCCCTTGTGCAGAGGCTGTTTCAGCGCAGAGGAGTCAGTCACCCACATAGTCCTGGAATGCAAGCCTGTTGCTAAACAACGTGCAGAAATCCTCAGAGCAGTGAGGTCGCTCTGTGAAGCCTGTGTAGTGCCCAGGAGTCTTCTGTGCTTCTGGAAGGAGCTAGGCTGGCTAAATTAGCCAGGACTTTACACACAACGGACCAATTATGAGTCTTAGTGCAGAAACTGAGTCCACCAACCTAATACCTAATATCATTAACTGATGTGAGACACTTTAACAAAAAGGCGAAAAACAACATTACCATTCCATGTCCGAAAGCTGTAATATAATACAAATATAATCGACATATGGGTGGTGTTAATTCACATCTTTTAGACGCGCTACTGGGCTATTACAGAATTCAAATAAAGTAAAAATACATAGAATATTCTTTCACATGATAGATATGAAATAATATTCTAAAAAGCCCTATTATGTTGACACCAACTTCAAAGTAGCTTAGCAGAAGATTTGTGTTGGGCATAAACCATCTCAGTGAGCCCTCATTGTTTGAAAAAGAAAGTAGAGGATCAATTTTATCTGACACAAGAAATCTAATCTACTCTCTTGGTCAACAACAACTTACACCTTTAAACACACAAAGAGATCTTGGCATATATTTTTTTTTCTTTAATAGAGCGCATTGTGCAATCAGTCTTCTGACTATGAGAGATGAGTTGTAGGATGTTTGGGTGGAGATATTCCTCATAGGAATATCTACCATAATAATATTAGCTCAGTCAATGCTGCTGAGCTCCAGGGTTCTTCGTCTTTTGAGTCGGTTTATTTACTCTGGTAGGGTGAGTTGAACAGCTAGGTGGTTAGGATGATTTTCCAGCCTAGTCTTGTACTTCTGAGCGTATAATTTTATTTCCTCCTTGACTGTAGGTATGCCTAGGTGTTCATGTACTTCAGCGTTTCTTATGAACCAAGGCGTGTTGCTTATTTGTTGAAGGATGTAGTTTTGTGTTCTTTGAATTTTAGTTTTGTTAGAGTCACATATAGCTCCCCACAATTGTATCCCGTAGGTCCACATCTTGGCGTTATTATAAACAACTATTTGAAATGGGAACTTCACATGATTAATATGGTAAAAAGAGCTAATTCTTGATTAGAAACCTCTTGAAATGACTCACACCAAGCACATAAAAATTACATATATCCACTCTTAGAAAGGGCCTGGGAATCTCCTATTTCAAGAAAGATGTCACCCTAATTGAAAATGTACCAGGAGGGCAACAGAAAAGAGAGGACATTTCTTGAGAACACACCACATGACAGACAACAAAGAGGAAATCTAATTGAAACATACAAAATTCTTCCTGGTCATTATAATGTGCAACACATTGAGAATATAATATTTACTTTAAATCAAAACAAGCATGTTTTGAGGTCATGCACAAGTAAACACCGTATAAAGTTCGTAATTGCAATGCCTTATAGAACTTCTTCCCAAACGGTATGGTCCCTCTATGGAATGATGTCCTGGTGTCTTCACTGAATTATTTTAAAAACAAATTAAATGTGTCACCATTTATGGGATGCTCTAACTTGTTATAAATCACAACCCATTTTGTTAATTGGTTTATTCTTCACAAACAACAGCAATTAATTTATATTCACATAGAAACGCTCAAGGGAAAAAACATGAATATCGCTAGTCTTAAGTCTGTTCTGAGTGACGTCTGTTTTCTTCTTTTCTTAGTGTCCTATGTTTATGTTAACACATACATCAAATTCTTATAGAAAATAGTACACAAAAGAGTATGTACATTTTTAGTGCGTATCTACGATTAGCTACAGTTTCTTCTTCTTAATACTCGTGTGATAACTAAATACTAAATATAAGAAATTTTTAAGTAACAGTTGGTGCAATTCGCCGATAATGGTATTTTTTTAATGTGATTTCATGAAATATGTCAGATCAGAGTTCAGACTCAGATTTCGAACGTGAAATTATACTTGACAGTCTGTTGTGTGCTTTAAGAAGTTTCGTCCACAGGCTACTTATACATTAACAGAGTTATAGAGTATGCTAATTATATATAGCCGTGATTTTGATTGGAATTACCTTATTAAGACTAAGCTTTAAATTTAATATATTTATTAAAATTATGATTGTAAGTCCTTCGCACAAAGATGGGATGCGGTCTTTTTTTGCGTCCTATCCTTGGGGGCCCATTTGCTTTTCGTCGAGAACTCCAGATGCCGTCGCTGACTCTGTCGCCGAGATGGTCCTGCAGGGTATGGAACTTTTTATTCCATTCTCTGCGGTGCCGGTCCGTGGCAAGTCCCAGCCTTGGTTTAGGCGTTCTTGCAAAGCGGCTTTGCGCCGTAAGCGTGAATGCTTTAAAGCCTGGGCAGAAGCGGTGACATCCTGTGATGTGACTATCGGCGAACGTAAAAAAGCATACAATTCAGCCTCCAGGTCCTTCAAGCGGGAAATCGCTAAAGCAAAGTCAGAGCACATTGCCAGATTTGGTGAGAAATTGGCCCACCTCCCTTCGGGAACTCGAGCCCTCTGGTCTCTTGCCAAAGCTGTCCAAGGGAATTTCTGTCAGCCCTCAACTCCACCACTGCATTGGGAGGATGACTCACTGGCCCATACCGTGAAAGAGAATGCCGATCTTCTAGGCTGTCTCTTTGCGTCGAACTCCACTTTGGATGATCAAGGGAAGGAACCACCGACATTATTGCGGTGTGATACTACGATGCCCGAAGTTATATTCCGGCAACGCGCTATCCGTAAAGCTTTGTCTTCCTTGGACATCCATAAGTCGAGCGGGCCTGATGGCATCCCCCCAATTGTGCTGCGTACTTGTGCTCCTGAGTTGGCTCCGGTCCTAACGCGCCTTTTCCGGTACCTTTACACGCTCGGCACTGTTCCGAAGTGCTGGAAGATCGCTTCGATACATCCGATCCCTAAAAAAGGCGATCGCTCTGACCCGTCCAACTATCGCCCAATAGCTATAACCTCCTTGTTCTCCAAAATAATGGAAACCATTATTAACACCCAGCTCTTGAGGTATCTAGAGGGCCACCAGCTGATTAGCGATTCTCAGTACGGCTTTCGTCGTGGTCGCTCGGCTGGTGACCTCCTTGTATACCTTACACATAGGTGGGCAGAGGCAATTGAGTCTAAGGAGGAGGCGCTGGCCTTGGAAGGAAAGCCTTCGATCGGGTGTGGCACAGAGCACTGCTCTCGAAGCTTCCAGCCTATGGGCTCCCTGAGAAATTATGCAACTGGATTACCAGCTTTCTCGCTGATCGGAGCATCAAAGTTGTCATCGACGAAGCATGCTCCGACCTGAAACCTGTGAATGCTGGTGTCCCACAAGGCTGTGTCCTATCCCCGACCCTGTTTATTCTGCATATCAATGATATGTTGCAGCTTAGCAACATTAATTGCTATGCGGACGACAGCACTGGGGATACTTTTACACTGGCCGGGCAGGTATTTCTCGGGCTGTTGTCGATGAGTACCGGAACAAACTTGTGTCTGAAGTCGAAACTCTTCTACGTGGAGTCTCGGACTGGGGTAGACTAAATCTAGTCCAATTGAACCCCAAGAAGACACAAGTATGCGCGTTTTCCGCTAAAAAAACTCCCTTTGTCGCTACTTCCCTCTTTGAAGACACTCTCCATAAAGCCCGCGATATCGAATAACGTTCAGTTTCGCGGTCATCTGGAAGGAAAGGCTAAATTAGCCTCCAAAAAGCTTGGTGTGCTCAGCAAGGCGAGACGGTACTTCACTCCGGGCCATCGCTTATATAACTATATAAAGCGCAAATTCGGCCCCACATGGAGTACTGCTCTCACCTCTGGGCGGGAGCTCCCTAGTACCAGCTCCTTCCACTTGACCGTATTCAACGAAGAGCGGTTCGAATCATCGACGAGCAGTCCCTTGGCGTTGCGTAGAGATGTGGGGTCTCTCTGCATCTTCTACCGCATTTACCATGGAGAGTGTTCAGAGGAGTTGTTCGGATTAATACCTGCAGCTCAGTTTCATCATCGGACGTCGAGGCAAAATACAAAATACCATCCGTATCACCTCGACGTCCGTCGTTCCACAACAGAGCGTTTTCTAAGGCAGTTTTTGCCGCGCACCACCACTATGTGGAACCAGCTGCCCACAGAAGTATTTCCGAACCAATTCCACTTAGGGTCCTTCAAGAAAAGAGCGTACCAATTCTTGAATGGCCGGCAACGCACTTGCGAGCCTTCTGGCATTGTGAGTGTCCATGGGCGGCGGTATCACTTAACATCAGGTGAGCCTCCTGCCCGTTTGCCTCCTATTACATTAAAAAAAAAAAAAAACACCTCAAACCCGATATTAGCTGCCGGAAATGCGTCTAAGTATTTAAAAAAAAATTTAAAGTTTTGTAAAATGTATTGAAATTTGTAAACAATCCGCCATTTTCTACTTTTCTATTGGTTATAAGAGATGTGACATTCTCGTTTTCTATTGGTTATAAGTGATGTGACATTCTCGGTAAATGAATCGAATCGATTATTTTCTCATATTTTGTTAATTTTTAATTTTTTTTTTTTTTTTTTTTTTTTTTTTTTTTTTTTTTTTTTTTTTTTTTTTTTTTTTTTTTTTCGCCCCCTCCCTTTAAAAAAATTTTTTTTTTTTTTTTTTTTTTGGGGGAGAGAAAAAAAAAAAAAAACCCAAAAAAAAAAAAAAAAAAAAGATGGGGGGGGGGGGAAGTTGAACCTAATTTAACCATTACTTGTCAAATGTACATACATTATCTTCATGTTTCAAATTTAGTGTAGGTTACCGAGAAGTGATAAATTTGGAACCCAAATCATAACCTTCCTGTGTTCATTTTTATATCGGGATTCTTATACTATGTTTGTTAAAACCATTAGCAAAAAAACTAAGAATCAGTGTATATACTATAATAAGTATCGCAAACATTACAATATCAGAATAAAAATAGCCCACCTTTTTTTTTTCTAATACTATAGTAAAACCATAAAAAAACTAAGAATTCGCTTAGCTTACAAACTCATAAAACATTTGTAACTATGTCAATGAAAGTTATCACGTTCAAGGTTTTCAATTACATACGAAAACGAATGATTATGACTCATAATAATTCATATCACATTTAAAGCGATAGGAGAAAGAATAAAAATGGAATTGTTTGTCCAACAAGACGCATACAAATTAAATCACTTGCAAAGTAGCGACTGTATAATGTTAACTATGCTTTTGAAATTATTAATTATTTGTATTATATCCCAAGTAATTGATTTTAATATTTTTAACGCCTAACAAAAAATATTAGCAAAGTTACTGTGGTTTTATAATATTTTAAAGGTAGTATAATATTTCCAAAGAAAATTGTTTTGTTACAGATAACGTTGCAGTGGAGAATGCCAATTAGAGCAAATAAAACCAATTTTAGAACTATAAGTTATAGTGTCCCTAAGAGGACACTCGGAGTCACTACTAAAACCCGTTTATATATCGTTCCGACAATAACAAATTCCAAACAAAACTCTTTGAACCAGGTGAGTGTATTAACTTAAATAAGGCAAAGTTTAAGGTTCGTCTGTAAAGTCCAAAATAATTAACATATTTAATACGTTTTCACATTTGTGAAGAAAGACGTCGTCGATTACGTCACAACATAACGGTACTATAAAGCTAATTAAAAGTGCTGAACTAGAACGTCATATCCAAGGAGTGTTGCCATACCTATGTGAGGATCGTCTGATTTCAGGGTTTCATTCATTAAGGAAGCCGGAGACTCAGGCTACGTAGTTAATGGCTCACGTTGTCGCGTTTGCAATTAGTCTTAAATAAAATAAAATAAAAATAGCCTGTATTCGAGTACTACATAATCAGGATTACATTAGGTCTATGTTATTACATTTAATATTAGTATTCGACCTCCTCCAAATTCTTCCAATATTTCCCTGCTATCTCTTTTATGTTATCTTCTCAGGTTTCTGGTGGGCGTCCTCTCTTTTTTTCTTCCCACTGGGCCATTTCAAGTAAGGGTCTTTTTGACCTTTTTATTACAAACGCAGTTAGTCTTAATCACTGCTTCTGAATATATTGAGATAACACTTTCTGCGGCGCTACCATCGACAACAAAGATAATCACGAAGTATTGAAGATTTTGTGTTGTTTAATAAATAAATGTATTTTTCAGAACAATTCTACCGTTATGTACGAAGATGAAATTCCAGATATCTCTGATAAGACAGACGACGAAATTCTAGACAATATAATGGATAGAACGAATGGCACTAGCAGTGAACATTTTTATGATGACTCACCGGTAAATGACATTGTCTCCGAAAACGTAATGAATACTGATATTGAGAAAAGCAATGAAGATGCCGATGCTTGAATTAAGTGGAATATTTGCAAATAATAACTAATTACTTAGTAATAATTTACTAGTAACTTACGCTAGCTGGGCGTTCCTCGTTTAGAACTTGGGACCCAGATATTATATACACATATCCTCATATGTTATCACAAGCTAAGAACAGCCATTACCCAAAAGCGGTCTCGCAGAACACACCGTAACGGATATAACTAACGTAGACTTAAGAGTATAATAACGAAACTAACACCATTTGATATGTAATTTTTAACAGTTTGGAATTAAAGTGGATTTATTATTATTATCCACACATATTCCACAATGAAATCAGCCGCATATGCTGTATGAACGCGATAGACTCAAAAACTACTAAACGGTATTCACCAATATATAATGTGATTCCGAAGTAAGGTTTATGTGTAAAGTTCAATATACGTTTGTTGGTAGAGTCAGCGAATTTTTAAATAAAGAATATTTATTTCGGAAAATAAGTATTTTATTTTTCAACATCCTTTTAATGTTTTTATTCCTTCCAAATAACCGGATTTCTCAAAACCCTCATAAAAGAGTTTTTTTAATGATCAGGAGGTTTAATGGGTAGGAGGCTCACCTGATGTTAAGTGATACCGCCGATCAAGGACACTCGCACTGCCAGAAGGCTCGCAAACGCGCTGCCGCCCTTTTAAAAAATGGTACGCTCCTTTCTTGAAGGACCCTAAAACATCAGTGGGTAGCTGGTTCCACATAGTGCGGCAGAAATTGCCTTAAGAAACGCTCAGTTATGGAACGAAAGCCGTCAAGGTGATACGGATAACGGATGGTATTTTGTAATCTGCTTTGACGTCCGATGTTGAAACTCAGCTGCAGGTATTTCGAACAACTCCTCTGAACACTCTCTGTGGTAAATGCGATAGAAAGGGGTTTGTTTCAGTGTTGACCTCTTCGTTCGACCAAAATATCTTTCTAACTAGCCATTTTTTCACATTTGCCAACAGGTAGTGGCAGAGGGCTAAATCGACAGAATATGGTGGATGAGGTAGAACTTCATAGGCCAATGTCTTTTTGCATGTTTACTATACAGTGCATTGTCTTGACAGAACGGCACATTATCTTCGCTAAATGTAGTCACTGCTCAATCAATATACACGGCCGAAGCTGCGGGCGGAAGTTAGTATATTCAATAGCGTTTAGGATTTCCTTTATAAATAGATTATGAATCTATAACTATTATAATACTTTATAATTTTAATCACGGTAGCAAGAACGTGCTCGCTCAACGATTTCACAACCTGACGATAGCATTAAAATAAAACAATAGCTTTGTTAAACGATATATATTTGTTCTAATCAAAAAATATTATGTATCAAAAACAAAAGTATAATTTTATACAAAAACCAATATTGCAAATAGGAAGCTCTGTAATTAAATTGTTGCATTTTTTTTACGTTTCAAACACTTTACAATTCTTTAATATTTTCGAAATAGATGATCGCCATCAAATGATAGCTTAAAAACGCACTTGATTTTTACATTAAAACTTTTCGACGAATATTTGTCTGAAAATCAAACTGCTTAAACAACATAGGAGTAGCCCAATGGATTACCACAGCCGCAGCCAACTGGTCCCACCGCGGGGTACCCCAGAGGTAACTTCTCAGCCAGCAAGCTGCTAACGGTGAGTAGGGAGAGGGTATCGGCAAGACTGTTTGCGACTGCGTTAGGCCCTAGAGCAGTAAGAGTTGAGAGCGTTGGGGCTACGGCAGGGCCAACGCAAGGTCCTGCCAGTGCAGCGGCTAAGGGACCGGCCAGAGGAGCAGCAATAGGAGCCGCCACGGGGGCAGCGAGCAAGTTAGGTCCACATGAGCGAAGACACTGTGCGTTTACGCTCTGTAATAGAAATAAACAAAGAAACTCTTAGTATGTGTGATAATTTGAATTCTTCAAAGCATTTATTAATAGTGATACGTTGTGGTTTATGACATTTTCCTTTGAATAATTGTAATGTAAAGGAAGGGGAAAACTTGCTGAGTTTCTTGCCCGTTCTTCTCAGAGCAACAAGGCCTTCTGGTAGTTTTGCGAACGGATGGCGTAGTCTTGCTCTTTCACGAATTTTGTAAACGTTGTTGACATTCATAAGCATGCTCTAAGAAGCATCTAAATTGAATAAACGTATTTTGATTTGATTTGAATTGTATAGTGGTAAAATAGTATTGTAAGCGAAGTCTTTAAACCCCCCAGAAAGTCATTTTTAGCAATTCTTCATAATAAATACTTTTTTATAATTTATTGAATACTATACATCACAAAAGAATGTTTTTAACCATATAGTTAAACAAACTAAGGCAGAGTAATTTTTAGAAAAAGAAACTTGAATAAAACACTAATTATGAATAATAACAATAAAAACTTACCAGGGCAACAGCCTGTACAATCACAAACACAAAGAAGGATTTCATTTTGTCAGTTCAATAGAAATGTAAAGAAATTAATTAATTAACAGTATTTATAGCGAATGTGTCACAATATTAACGAAATAGAAAATTGGTAAGTAACAAATTCTATTGAAAATTGATAAGATGCAGAAATGTGTTGTAAATGTCAGGAATTCCTTCATAGATACCGTGAGTTAGCTTGTTACATCTATATAATTTTTAATAATATTAAAAAATATATATATATATATATATCTAATATATAAAATTCTCGTCAATGTTCGTTCCCATACTCCTCCGAAACGGCTCGACCGATTCTTATGAATTTTTTTATGCATATTCAGTAAGACTGACAATCGGCTACTGTCTTTCGACCTCCTGAGTGATAAGGGGTGTCCACCCCAAAAAAATATTTTTTTATTATGTGGCATTAAAAAATACATACAATTCTTAATTTTCACCCCTCTACGATCAACCCCTATTTTTTATTTGTTAATTAAAATTTTATGACTTGAACTCTGAGGTTTATATAGAGAAAAAATCACAGAAAAACCTAAAAAGTTTAAATTTAAGAAAACCGAAGAGTCTCTGGGGTAGCATAGTAAAATGTTCCATGTTGGTATAGTACTTAAAAGGTAGGCTAAGTAAAATCACATTAAGGAGAAACGAAGTTCGCGGGGGCAGTATACGTATATAAAATAAAGTTGTGTCAGTTACGCTATTTATAACTCTAGATTTGGTTGAAACCAGGAGACGGATAAAGGATACTTTTATCCTGTTTCCGTGGGGCATGACATAAAACGTGGTATAACAATGTGATTTACGCGGGAAAATTCGAAAGTGAGGAAGTTCTCATTTGAGATTAAACGACTCCAATTTCCAAACCGTCACTCTCTATGACCATCAAGACATCACAAGGACAAGTTTGTGGTCTGAATCTAGAAAATGCATGTTTTTCCCACGCTTTTTCCACGCTGTGGCATGTGGGAAGACCATCTATGTTATCCCATCTATCGGTGCTTCACTAAAGAGTGCAACTTATTGCCCAAAATACCTGGTCAAAAAATAATCATTAAAATACTCAATATTTATATTTATTATCCTAATAAAAAATTGAGCAGTGTTGGACTAGTGGCTTCAGCGTGCGACTCTCATGCCTGAGGTCCTAGGTTCGATCCCCGGCTGTGCACCAATGGAATTTCTTTCTATGTGCGCATTTAACATTTGCTGGAACGGTGAAGGAAATCATCGTGAGGAAATCGACATGTCTTAGACCCAAAAAGTCGACGGCGTGTGTCAGGTACTGGAGGCTGATCACCCACTTGCCTATTAGATTTAAAAATGATCATGAAACAGATTCAGAAATCTGATGACAAGACCTAAAGAGGTTGTAGCGCCACTGATTTATTTTAAATAAAATACAAAATCTGCTCATTTATTGCTTCTAAGGCGGAACAAAATTAGCGGAATCAGCTAGTTATATTATAAAATACCAACGTATTTATGTTAATTAATTCGGTTCAATATTAAATGAGTAGTTTATAGAGGTTATTTAGCCAAGAATTATTATTACTTTTAGGTACTGTTTGTTTAGTTCTGGGCAGTGTAAGAGTGAGTAGCTTGGGTCAATTCTCAACGCTAAGGTCCTGCCTTCGAATCACCAATGCACTAATCATTGTGCGCATATAACACTCGCTACAGTGAATGAAATTTGCGAGAAAACAGCACAGTCCGGCACAGAAGGAACTCAATAAACAGATACAGAAGTCTGAGGCCGATTTTATAAGCGTTACATAGATATTTTATCCAAATATATAAAACAAAGTCGTGTTAGTTACACCACTTATAACTTAAGATCGGCTAGACAGACGTAAGTTACACATAGTATTGTCTTTGATTAACATAACTTTTATTCATTTAATAAAACACTATTTTGACCGGATTGAAGTTATGTATTATTATAAATTTACAACTATTTAACATAATTTTAATTTTAGGTCAACCGCTGACCAGCGCACGCTGTAAAGCACGCGAAACGTCGGATAAATTTAAAATTATGGGCAGTTAAGGATAGTTGGGTCTATTATAATAATACATAACTTCAATCCGGTCAAAATAGTGTTTTATTAGACGTAAGTTATCTCTTTTTTGGTGGATTCTTCTCCGCTCCGAATAGCAGAATAAGCAATAAAATATCGGATAAGTTATCGAATAACAATAAATAAGTAAATTAATTTTACGAATGCAACGCATCATTTTATCATCATTTCGAACTCGTGTCAGTTCAAGAAACTCCGATCTTGAGGTTGAATCAGGAGATGCATAACAAGGCTTTGGTCTTGATCGAAAACATGTGTTACCTCATCAAGTAATGTTGTATATCAGAAAGTGCTTTAACATGCAGTATCGTTATATTGGCGCTAGAGAGAAGAGGCCTAATGTGTAAAACTGCCATTCTTCTGTCGCAATGGCAAGCAGTAAAACATTTCTGTATTTGCAAAAAAGTGTTCATGTTATTACCTTAATGAAATCCTATAATAAGTTTAACTAAAGCAACAACGATATTATTAGATTGTAAGGCTGAACGAAGTTAGCCGGGTATAAGTCTAAGAACAAGCCAAGTAATAGCCAGGTTGAGTCTGTTCGGCTCGTGTGTAATAATTTTATTTAGCAGTATAATCGTGGTGTTTATTAAATTTGTATGTGTCAATTTTATCAAGTTGCCCCGGTATGGCAAAATCCCAATAATTATATAAAGGTACTTTTATTCTTGAGTGCTGTTACAATCATATTAAAGGTCCTCTACGTTTTTTAAGAATCTAACTTCAGTTTATAACTTAGTGATTAAAATTTTAAAAAAAAGACCTACTAAAGATTGGAAATTGTTCTTCATTTTAAGAATGTACCGACTATGTCGAAAATTTTATTTTTTATTAAAATTTAAATAATCTATTTTTTTTACATAGTCTATAGTATTTTTTACCATTTTGTCTTCAAAACAATACAGTCCGGTTTTCATGAAATCAAAATAAATTTACACAAGGGGATACAAACAATTTGACGTCATCATAGCGGGTTGCACATGCGCATGAAACGGTTGTTTCACACGGGGCTAAAAATTGGAGCTTAGTTTGTTAGTCTGCTTAAATATTATTTTTTCACAACTAACTTATAATCGTTCCAAGTTTCTGATGAACTCAATTATTCTGAGTTTGTTTCAGTATTGAACAAATAAAATATTGAGGTATAATATGAACTAGGCCTTAGAATTTTTATTAGAAATATATATGTATATTTTATGTATACAGGTTTAGTTTTCAAACAGAACTTAATGCTTACTGGACTTAATGTACTATGACTCCTGGATGGGGCCGAGAGCGTCCACGGTGACCATCAATCGCGTTTGGTCTTGAGCTTCGCATTTTACCTCGCTCTTTTCGCCTTCCTTTGCCTCATCTCTAACTCTGTGACAACGTGGGAAAGTCGGGGCGTGATCTTGGTGGGAATCGGTGACGGAGGTCAGCATCGCTTTAAAAAAGCCACCTGCTTTGTGTGGTATTGTAGTGGAACACTATGTAAGCAGAACCCTGACCAGTGCGCGTCATCCACTCTGGGACCTTCTGCAGCCACCCTCACTCGTGCCAAGTTCTTACAGCTGTCGTGGAGCTGAGGATGTAAGGCAAATTCTGCGCCTCAAAACAGAATCCACTGACTAGGTGGAAACCCGCGTGATACCGAGCTGGTCGGGAAGCTCTGAAGTGGTTTATCTCCTGTTTGTCTAAACGAAAAATGCACAATGATTGAAGTACCCGAAATAATGAGAAACCAGACCAATCAAACATATATAATGATTAAAGATATTTAATTTGTTAATTTCAAAAGTACATGAATTTACTTGATTATTTTTTTCCAATATGTTGGTCAATCATGTAGTTTCTAAGCTTTAGTTACCTAGAGGTTCTTGAACCAGTTTGAACCCGTGTGACTTATACGTATCCCTAAAAATTGAGGGGTGAGGCTCAGTTACAGTTATATCGCATTATAATATAGCATTTCATTGCGGCAAGAGCAGTAGTGCAAAAGCTTTAAAGCCTGAATGTCGTTATTTACTATAAAACATTCTAGAACATACAACCAAAGTGAAAATAAGATTAATGTTTATAACAGTGAAAAGACTAAAAAGAAAACCGTAATTGTGAGTGTTTTAACTTGTGAAGTGTAAAACCCAAGTAAAGTTATGACGCTCCATGCCTTAGCGGCATCTAATTACATGATAGAGGAACAAAGGTTTAAAAGTATTGATCTGAAGAAAAGTAGTATGCCATCTTTAATTTCAAAAAATTGGTAAGTGTAAAAAATGTTAAAACATCGGTCAATACTTCAACCACAACACTATCCAGTATCGATTTATTGTGAATTTGACGGCAATCATTTGACACTAGCATATACCAAAATGAGTGATTAACTGAAATTATAATAAAAATTCGAATGATAAACGGAACGTTTTTTAAAGCTTTTAATCAAGCATTATATTCTAATTTAATTTATGAAATTCTAGAATAAGCATTATATTTGTAATTATAATGGTTATTTAATAAAAATAACCCAATGAATAATATTTTTAAGTATTAATACATCAAATTCTTTTACCATGCTAACAAAAACAATACATTGTACGCAATATACGTAAAATGAAACGTTTAGTAAAAAAAGAACAAACGTCACATATCCGGTCGCCATTGTGGAAAAATATAATAACCCTACCGAATTTAGGATGTCATCAATTGTATGATAGTGATATTCTATGTGAATAACTTTGAAATATCCAGTTTAATCTATTTGACAATCGTGTTTGAGAGCTGAAACTTGAAAGACGACATTATTTTCGTTGCTTTTCTGTTGTGAGACGTGCTCCGCTAATTTTGCGCATCAAAACCCTACGGTGCTAACCGTGTTTTCTTAACAAGTACTTGAAAGGCTTAAATACGATTTGCCACGATGACGAAGTTAATGCAACAGTTAAA